CCAGCGTCTACGTGCTCATCTAACAAGGAGGTGTCAAATGCCAAGTCTGAGTTGTTCCTGGTGCTGTGTGAGTTAGCATGGAGGGATTTCTTTTTTAAATTTAAGACTTGAGTTTCAACCTCAAGGAGGTCACAGTCTGCATGGTAAGACAAAGTTAGCACACATAAAACAACAGAAGAAAAATTAGGTGCTAAAGGGCGTGTAGAAACAGTCATAGCTGGGGGAATAGAACCAAGGGCCAAGGCCAGGTGAGGCTTCAGGGAGGACACAAGAGGCCTTCGGGGTCTGGGAGGGGGAGGCAGGCATTCGCCGCACCAGCAAAGGTTGGCTGAGTCTACACTGATGTGGATTCAGGCTGGGCCAGGGAAGGTGACATGGAGATGAACATGGCCCACCCATACCCTGGGGCTGACAAACTGGCCTTGGTTTTAGGGCCAGCCTCAATGTCCCCAGGGACACATGGAGGACAGCACAATGAATGGAGAATGAGGCTTCATTCAAAGGAAAGAAAAGTGCTCATTAGCTTTCCCCAGCTCGATTCTTTATTTACTCATATAGTCATGCAACATTTAACAGGGATACATTCTGAGAAATGCATTCTTAGACAATTCTGTCATCCAGCAGCATGCGCAGTGGAGACCCCTCCATTAGAGTGTACTTACACAAACCTGGATGGTATAGCCTGCTACACACCCAGGCCATCTGGTACAGCCTAGTGCTCCCAGGCGACACACCCCTACAGAATGTTACTGTACAGAATATTCTATTTTTACTGTACTTTTTCTATGTGTACATAGGTATAGATACACAAAGGTAAGCATTTATGTATCTAAACCTATCTACACATAGAAAACGTATCTTTTAAAAGAGTATTAGCATCCACAAAAATTACCTTCACGGTTTCCCTGGAGGTGATGTTTGCATGATGATTCCAATTTACAGATGGGAAAGCTGTAAGCTGAGGCTTCCATGAGTTTGCTGGTGAGTTAGGACAGAGCTGGGACTGGAATCAGCTTCCTGGCTGTGTGAAAGAGAAACAGTGGTACACCTAGAGGGCACGTACCATGAACAGAGCTTGCAGGACTGGAGGTTGCTCTGGATGGGTCAGTGAGTGAGTGGTGAGTGAACGTGAAGCCCTGGGACACTATTGTACCCTGGTGTAGGCTTTATAAACACTGTACACTTAGGCTACACTAAATCTGTCAAGGTAAATGAAGTAATTGCACTATGACGTTATGACGGCCATGACGTAACCACGTGATTGGCGTTTGTCAGCCCCTTTAGAATCTTACAGGGCCATCGTCATAGGTGCAGTTTGTTGTTGACTGAAATGTTGTTATGCAGCCCGTGTCCATAGTTACTTCCAGTAGTGTGATAGTAAATCCACTCTCAAAAAGGAAAAGAACAAAAAAGGAAAAGAGGTCTCACCTCATTGATAGTGTGTGCTGATATCCATGGTGTAAATACTCCCATCATGACCAGTTTCAAACCACCAGCACAATGTCGCCAAACACAAAATTAGAAAGAGATACATGAAATGGGCTCTGGCCGGCTGGTGCCAGTTAGCTGTAGCACAAAGCTCATTCTCCTTGGAGCCCTGGGAAGGGGCGACCCTGATTGTTCCTCCTCTGGGCTGCACATGGCCTGTGACTTCCCAAAGTCACATGCTACACTGAAGTGTTATCAATTAATAGAGCCATGCACATCACAAGCAAGCAGTGTCTCTAGCTGAGACTTACTGAATGTAAAGTGGGAGTGGCCTACCTTATTCAGCTCAGCACCACGTGGGTGCTCATCATATGCAAGCCCCAATCCCATCCTCAGCCCTCCTCCCCCAAAGCTTGTGATTGAAGGAGATTACTTCTAAGATATAAGGACTGCTATTTGTTTATTCATTCATTCAACAAACATTTTCCGATTGCCCTCTCTCTGTGCCACACACTACACCGGGTGCCAGGGAAATGGGGGAACAAGACAGACACAACAGCTACCTTGTGAAGCTCACCAATGCTGGGAATTATGAGGGCCAGGCCCCCTGGCACTGGGTTCTGGTTTTAGCTCCACTTCCAACCTGCTGTATGGCCTTAAGCAACTCAGCCTCCTCCTTGGACCTCAGTTTCTTCACTTGTAAAATGAAGTTAGACTTAATGTTCACTAAGGTCTATCACAGCTTGGACTTCTGTGTCTCCAGGGGTTAAAGAGAGGTCCAGATGGCCACCACAGGAGGAAGGGTTGGTTGGAGAAACCAAGAATGTCTCCATGGGAGAGCAGCAGGCAGGAAGTAGATTGGACCTCTGAAAATTCACTGTGAGTCCCGTGAAACAGGAGGGACGTGTTTTGTGTGGCTCCTGACGGTGGAACTCTTGGGTGGAAAGTGTAAGGTGGGTGGGCCATTTTGACTCAATCTTGAAAGTTCTTGAGCATACTTGGTTGGAGCTGCTCAGCCGTGGGATGGGCTACCTTGTGAAGGAGTGAGCACCTGCCATTCGATTAGAGGCTCAAGACCACCTGCCTAAGCCTCATAGACAGGATTCACGGCAGGGAGATCACGATTTTGTAAAGCACCATGATCATCAGTTGTGAAGGAATGGAAAAAAACTTGTATGGTCCCTTGTGTTAACGTGGGAAAGACAAAGAGCATGCCAAAAAAAAAAAAAAAAAAATTACAATTACAAAGAACCACAAGCAGATGCTTAAAAAAAAAAAAAGACTAAAAAAAGACTACAATGGCCAGGTGCAGTGGCTCATGCCTGTAATCCCAGCACTACGGCGGGCCAAAGTGAGTGGATCACTTGAGGACAGGAGTTCGAGATCAGCCTGCCCAACATGGTGAAACCCCGTCTCTACCAAAAAATACAAAAATTAACGAGGGATGATGGCACACACCTGCAGTCCCAGCTACTCGGTGGCTGAGGCAGGAGAATTGCTTGAACCCAGGAGGCAGAGGTTGCAGTGAGCTGAGATTGTGCCACTGCACTGCAGCCTGGGCAACAGAGCTAGACTCTGTCTCAAAAAAAAAAAAAAAAAAAACTAGAAGGCAAACTGTCAAAACACTGACAATGATTGAAGTAGGATTGTGGATGATGGTCATTTTTCCCCAATGCCTTATTTTTCAAATGTTTGGTAGTATGGAAATGTTTTTGAAACTAACACAGTTTTATTCTTTATGGAAAGTCATCTAGATCAACCCTTATCCTGGGACAGGAAGCCTCTCTACAACCACTAAACTCTCTTCCAATCTCCCAGTTCTAAGAGGCTCACTCAGGCCTGCCAACCAGGGAGGTGGGAGGAAGGTTGCACTGGCGGGTGCTTGCTGAGTGCCAGACTCTGTGCTGGGTGCAGAGCCAAAGAAACAGTGTCGGGCCTGGAGGAGGGATGATGGCTGTCACAATTATCTCAGTCTTTGAAACAGTCATGGGGCAGGTCCCGGATTATTAAGCAGTAGGGGTTCACCCACGTCGAGGAGGGATCCCCACTGGGCATGTTGCTGGAAGGGGAATTTAGGGCGAGTGGATGAGCTGCCTGTTCAACCCCATAATTTGACAGAATCCAGGCCAAGACTTTGGCCATGTAGACAACTGTGGGTAGAGTCGGACTGATGAGGAGGTAAAGGGTTTCCGTGTCTCCATCTATGGACACATGCATGCATGCTCACACTGACACACAGCCTCAGCTTAGGCTAAAAGCACCTCACTTTCCCCTACCAAATCTCCATATAATTCTTCCAAGAAAGTCAGTTTCGTGATGATGAACTCAACCCACATGGCTCTCACCCGGCCTTCACCCGGCATCCCCTTCCTGCTCCCCAAGCTCCCCTCTCCACTTCATTTCAGGCTCCCCATCCCCTTCCTCTGCCTCACCTATGCATTCCCCCTGCCAGCACCTAATTCTGCTTCCCATGGAGAAAGGCCTCCCTGTTGACAGGGCCATGCTGGGACTAGGGGCTGGCAAAGTCAGTCTTCTCACATAAAAGGCTCAGTGAGTCCTGGAGACACTTGGAAGCCAGACAGAATGGAATTTCTCTCTATTTTCTTTACAGCTGAGAAAACACGCACAAACACAAGAGCATATTTATTGCGATATTTCTATCCCAAAGTTTGTCTTTAAAAAAAAAAAAAGAAATAAAATTAGTTTCTCTGCCCACTCCACCCCTATCCTCTCCCCCACCCCCCACCCCACCTCTTTTCATTCCGTCCCGTTTCCTGGTCTAGGCCAGGGAGAGAAACAGAGCGTCCAAGCCCCACAGAGCAGTCCTGCAACCCGGACAATGTCCAGCTTGTTCAGAGAGCGAGGGAAGAAACGCAGCTCCAAAAACATACACACAGCCTCCCAATGAAGGGTGTTCTGAGGGAAGAACAGGCGGGCCTTGTGTCTGAACACGAATCCCTGAGGCTCTGGGAAGAGAGGAGCCCGAAAGTCTAGACCCCTCCCCGGCATGGAGAAGACACCTTACCCCTGCCCTCGGGGGAACTATTTCCTAGCCGTACTTGGTCACAAGGGGCTTGAACGAGAGCCCCTCATGGTGCCTCAGCCTGCTGCCTTTTCTTAAAAAGGCAGCATCTAGGTAGAAAAATTCCTAAGGAGACACAAAGGGCTACTTCTCAGAACTTTGGGATTTTCCAAACTTTCTCCAGTGTGAGGATGATGTGCCTCATGCATTCGCCTCGTACCCCGAGTGTCTGGGCACCCCTGGCCCAGTCAAGTTGACTCACAAAATTAACCATCACAGGAACTCATTCAGATGAGCCTTCACTGGCTGAAGATGGGAAGTCAGGTTTATTAGCCCAATGCCTGGAATTAAACTCAGAAACCTGTGAAGGTTTTGTGAGGGGAGGATTCTTGAAGAAAATATCTCACAAACCACGTGCAGCCTCCTTCTCTAGCAGTGATTCCAGGTCCCTGGGTGTGGAATTATCACTTTGCATCACATGTCACATGACCCTGTTTGACCTCACCTTGCCTTCACTGTCTAAATAATGCCTCTACCTCCCCTCTTCCAGGTCAACTATGACCACTTTACTCTGGGTTTTTGTGACTCTGAGGGTCATCACTGCAGCTGTCTCAGTGGAAGTTTCAGGTGAGGACACTCATATGCATGTCTTATGTATCAGTAGGCACGAGTACTGGGTTTGAGTACTGGGTACTGAACCTGGTGTTACTAGTCCCAGGGAAATATGATTTCCCCTTTCCTGGCCTTTTCCCGGCCCTGCCCTTCCCCTATTGTTGCATGCATAACTGTGATAGGAGGGCACCCCTGCATGGGCACAGGCATCCAGACCTCCAGGAGCCTCGCTCAGATAGCACTGCTCCTGGCTGCCCTCAAGCCCCGACAGCTGGCAGAGAGAGTTCCCAGCAGGTGCCTTTCTTCCCTCCATGGATCTCGGCCAGTACTGCTGCCCACTGAGCTTGCAGGAGGGGCAGGACATAGACCAGTGGGGAAAGGGCCACTGAGGGAGGATCGGCTGGAGCACCAAAGAAAACAGGTCACTTGAGAGATAGCCAGAGAAAAGCCCCAGGGAATCAGACAGGTCTTTGCCTGTTTGGCAAACCAACTCCGGAAGCCCCAGCCTGGCCTTGTGCATGTGGCAGGCACTGGGTCTACTTCCGCTCATTGAGCATTGGACCAAATGAACAAACCTTCCACTGACCCCAGGATGGGCTTGACCCCAGAAGGGAAGGTATATCTCCCCTAGACTCAGACAAGAGGGGACGCTGCTCTTGGCTGTACATTTTAGAGGCCCCCACTGGCCCTCTCCAGCCTCAACCCTCTCCAAAGGGAGAGGAGCCAGTAGGGCCTGTGTGTCCATCCAAATCTGCATTTCCCTTTAGATCACATTCTGGGATCCCAGAATGCCCAGAATTTCCCGTCCAAATGGCCCAGGCTACATCCAGGTCCTGCATGGGTCCATCCTCCGACGGGGGCACCACACCCGTGATGGGAGCCACCCTGGGTCCAAGGGAGGGCCTGAGGAGTGGCTGCTTGTATGGGGTGTGGGCAGAGCAGGGCTGTGAGGCTGAGATAAGCACAGCAGCACGTGAGACCCCCTCACAGTGCACTTGGTGCAGGGAAAAGAAGGGCCCCACTCACCATGCTCCCACCCAGCCACTACATCCCAAGGCAAAAAGCCAAGGAATCCAAGAATTCTGAATTTGAGTCTGTTTTTTCAGGTCATTCTGAAAGGTATCATTGTCAAACAGGAAGATAGAAGATAGAACACAGAATGTAACAATCTGTTGGCCCAATTTACAACTTTTGCATCTGCAGACATATGGGACAAGGGCCTTCGTTTGTACTGTTGCTGGGAGACCCACAGCTATGCAGCCCTGGCTGTACCGGGGGTGGTTTGCCCACGCAGGGAAACCAGTTCTTTAGGTTTGGGTGAGGACTTTAAAAACTCCTGAGCACCGCGGTCCCTCTCAGCTCTCCCCTGAGAACCACTACTGCTAAAACCCAGCTATGTCCAGGGTGCGAGGTCCCAGCACTCAGAGGAAGGTGCCTGTGGAAGGGGCTGATGGGCCTGTCCAGGACATCAGAAGGTTAGAGCTGGACTCCAAGCATTCCTGGCTCCCCTTCACTTGCCCTGTGATGTATCTACCACCCACAAATAATCTCAAACCATTTTTATTTCAACCTGTAGGCTCTCCTGAAAGAACAGTTTTCATAAATGTACGAGTCTCCATGAAAGGTGCTATTTTTTTTGTTTGTTTGTTTTTGAAAGCTGGTTTTTTCCCCACTCCCAGCAGATCTTTTACTTCTAACAAGATTTGGTAAACTCGTTGCACCTTCCCTATCAACGCCCTCCATTATATTAATATTTCTGGAGTCTGATCCTATCCCGCGTCACCTCTCCCGCATCTGACTCTTTGCAGATTGAAATGTCTAATCTTCTTGGATGCTTCTAGACCCGAAACCCCCGACTCCCAAACAGCAAAAGAGAGCGACTTATCTCAACTGCAAAATCAGACCTCCTCAAATGGGACACATCTTGGAAGTTTTCTGTCTCAGCTTTAAAATTGTGTAGACTGCCTTTCCACCCCCAAATCTTTGAGTTAAGCTGTCACCCAAGTAGATGGGTCCTGTTTTATTCCATGCTTTGATGCCCCCTGTAGTACCCCAGTTTGAGAAACAGGGTGATGGTCTTGACACTGATGTCTCCCCTGCCCCACTCTGGAATCCTTTTCTGGCTCCATAATTTTGGTCTCGAGGTGCAGAGGCCAGGGGGTGAGGAACGCTGCCCTGGAAAAGGCGTTGCAAGCCTTTCTGGGAATTCCCACATGACACCGGAGCATTGGCATCGTAGACACAGACACACTCATTGGATTTCTCTGTCTCAGGAGAGCTCATTGCCGCAGGGACGGATGGGGAGGCGGGCTGGTCCTCTCTAGGCACTAACAGATCTCTCTTCCACCCCACCCCTCCCGTACAGACCATGACAACTCGCTGAGTGTGAGCATCCCCCAACCGTCCCCGACGAGGGTCCTCCTCGGGACCTCCCTCACCATCCCCTGCTATTTCATCGACCCCATGCACCCTGTGACCACCGCCCCCTCCACCGCCCCCCTCGCCCCAAGAATCAAGTGGAGCCGTGTTTCCAAGGAGAAGGAGGTAGTGCTGCTGGTGGCCACTGAAGGGCGCGTGCGGGTCAACAGTGCCTACCAGGATAAGGTTTCGCTGCCCAACTACCCTGCCATCCCCAGCGACGCCACCTTGGAAATCCAGAGCCTGCGCTCCAATGACTCAGGGGTCTACCGCTGCGAGGTGATGCACGGCATCGAGGACAGTGAGGCTACCATGGAGGTCGTGGTGAAAGGTGAGAACCTCCCGGGGGGACGCTGCTCCACCCGCAGAAAGCAGCAGAGCGGTCTGGGCTTCGGGCAGGTGTAGGCAGGCTGGCCTTCAAACCAGCCCCTCCGCGGACCTCAGCCAAGTTACTTAACTTCGGCTGCTTCCTCTGTGACATGGAGCTGGTAATATCATTCTCTCTGGACTTTAGGGAGGATTAAATACTTCCTGGCTATTATTAAATACTTCACAGGTAACTGACAGTTTGTGCTTCCCAAGAATTCTGTGAGCCGGTGGGTCTTGTGGTGGTGCCCATTTTACAGACAAGCAAACTGAGGTCAAGTGACTTGCCTGGGGTTACCCTGGAAATAAGTCAGAGCAGTCTCCTGACAGCTTGTCCCCATGTCTTTTCCCTCCCCCTCCCCAGTCCCTCATTCTCAGTTCCAGAAGCCAAAGCAAGGGCTGAAGACCCCCTGGTCTCTTTCTCTCTGTGGTCCAAGGAGAACAGTCAGGTCCTTGGTTAGCTTCAGGACTTTGGCCAGCACCAGATTTTTCCCAGGGGAAGGTACAGTGGGAGGCTCTGTCAAAGCTGTTCACTCCTAGGCACACCTTAGATGGATTTCCCACTAGGGTGTCCCTGGGCTGAGGGTGCAGGGGGTTCTAAGTGTCTTTCCCCCAATACAACCTGAGGGTCCTGGAGTGATAAGAAAAAATTGCAAGCAGGCAGATTTTAGTTTAATTCAAAGAACTTTCTGATTATCAGGATTATCACAAGTCTTCAAAAAGGAATGCCTTATAAGGTAGTGAGCTCCCCATTACGGCGTGTTCCAGCAGATTCAGAAGGATCACATGCAAAGGTGTACAGGGGGTCATGCACCAGCCTGGGCCGGCCATTTCCCGAAGGTCCCTTTGACTATTGCCGTAATTCTGCGGGGACCTCCGCGATGGGAGACTGTGCCTGACCAGGGTTCCCACATGTGCGCACGTGTGTGTCTTGCAGGTGTCGTGTTCCATTACAGAGCCATCTCCACACGCTACACCCTTGACTTCGACAGGGCGCAGAGGGCCTGCCTGCAGAACAGTGCCATCATCGCCACGCCCGAGCAGCTGCAGGCTGCCTACGAAGATGGCTTCCACCAGTGCGACGCCGGCTGGCTGGCTGATCAGACTGTCAGGTAAGCCCCAGCCCACCAGTGAGTGGCGGCCAGGAGTCAGAGGCCACAGGCCAGTCAGGCAGGTGCTGGGATGGAATGTTGGCCAGCACTGAGCTGGTGCCAGCGTGACACCATGGCCAGCCTACGTTAGGAGCCTCGGTCATGCCTTGGCCAAACAGGCGCTCAATGACCCATCCCAAACCCTTGCTATTCTCTCTTGCAAATGGAATGAGGGACTGCTAGCAACCTTGCCCTACGCATCAGTATTTTTCCTACCCATTTTTTCTTTGCCACAATTTCCTCACTTCTGAACTGTGATGTTTTCTGTATTTTTGTAAAAGACCTTCCGTCCTTTCTGTTTTTAATAAGGTAAGACATAAGTTGAACGCCTGGGTGCATCCTTGCCTGAGTGTAGGTGCTGGGGAGTGAGGCGCAGAGCAGTCCGGATAGACCCTGCCTTCAAGGGATCTCAATGCACTCCAAAAGCAAAATGATGTCACTCATTCCGGGAGCATCACAGCTCCAACAGCCAGAGCCACAAAGTCTCAGGAAGAAAACCTAGGAAAATGTCTTTGCAATCTTGGGGTAGGCAAAGAGATCTTAGGATACAAAAACCATAGCCATAAAAAAAGATGAGACAGCCGAGCGCAGTGGCTTATGCCTGTAATCCCAGCACCTTGGGAGGCCTAGGCAGGTGGATCACAAGCTCAAGAGTTCGAAACCAACCTGACCAGAGAAAGTGAAACCCCATCTCTACTAAAAATACAAAAATTAGCTGGGCATGGTGGTGTTTGCCTGTAGTCCCAGCTACTCGGGAGGCTGAGTCGGGAGAATCGCTTGAACCAGGGAGGCGGAGGTTGCAGTGAGCTGAAATCACCACCACTGTACTCCAGCCTGGCAACAGAGCGAGACTCCATCTGAAAAAAAAGAGAGAGAGAGAATAGTCTGGCGTAGCACAAGAGCCCACACCGGGGCCACATCAGGAGCTGGACTCAAATTCCAGCTCCAGCGCTTGGAAGCTGCGTGACTATGGACAAATCATTTAACATCTCTGAACCTCAGTTTCTTCGAGTGTAAAGTAGATGGATGATAGCACCTGCCTCATTGGGCTGACATGAGACTCAAATGATATAGAGTGAGGCCTGACAAACTATGGCCAGAGGCCAAGTCCAGCCCTCTTCTTGTTTCTGTAAATCAAGTTTCACTGGACTGCAGTCAAGTCACACCCATATGTGTATTGTCTGTGGTTGCTTCATGCTACAGTGGCAGAAGAGTGGTCACCACAGACGCTGTGCAAAACCTAAAATATTTTCTGTCTTTTTTTGGAGACAGAGTCTTGCTCTGTCACCCAGGCTGGAGTGCAATGGCATGATATCGGCTCACTGCAACCTCAGCCTCCCGAGTTCAGGCAATTCTCCTGCCTCAGCCTCCTGAGGGGCTGGGATTACACGTGCCCGCCACCATGCCTGGCTAATTTTTGTATTTTTAGTAGAGATGGAGTTTCACCATGTTGGTCAGGCTGGTCTCGAACTCCTGACCTCATGATCTACCCGCCTCGGCCTCCCAAAGTGCTGGGATTACAGGTGCAAGCCACTGTGTCTGGCCTATCTGATCTTTTATAGAAAAAAATATGTAATCCTGAGATATTTAATCGGCAAAAAAAAGATATATATATATATAGATAGATATATATATATATGCCCCTGATAGAGAAAGTATGTTGGGTACCACTAAATATTCAGTAGAGGGAGGCTGCGTTTAGTCATTATTCACTGTTAAAACAGATAAGCAGTTCACATATTCAGAAGAGACATGCCAAATGCAATATTAAGTCATTGTTTCCTCCCATGAGGGAGGAGGATTCAAGGGTAGAGGCCATGGGCTTCCCTGTCCCCTGAGTGTCACACCTCCATTTGGGGTTCCTGGCAGATATCCCATCCACACTCCCCGGGAAGGCTGCTATGGAGACAAGGATGAGTTTCCTGGCGTGAGGACATACGGCATCCGAGACACCAACGAGACCTATGATGTGTACTGCTTCGCCGAGGAGATGGAGGGTGAGCTGCCCTGCCACCACGAGGCACCTAGCTCCCTTCCGGAGGGCCCTTCCCCTCCCCATCTCCCCATGGACACTTGAGATCACACAGGGTGTCAGCTCAGGGCCTGACACTCTCCATCCCCCTCTGCCATGAAGGGAGGTGGGCTGGGGCCTACAGGTCTGGACCTCTCATTCCCCACTTTGGAGAGGGTCTCAGTGGTCCCAACATCTGCAAAATGTCTGGTGTCACCACTGGGCCCCAGAGCACCTGTCACCAGAAGTCTCTCACCTAGGATTGCCCCTTCCAGCTGAGATCCCAGCTGCCATGACCAGCCCATCCCTGTTCTAAGGTCCCCTGTGCCATCAAAGTCCAGCCCAGCCATGGCCCCCTTGCAAGCCATACTACACCAGCAACGTAGCACCTAGGGCAGCTGGCCACCCAACCACCCTCTCCCGGCCTGGACTTTTTCTCTTTTGTAAAGGGCACCAGTTTTGGTCACAGAGTTAGCCAGGCCCGTGGACGCCAACCTTTCCCCCATCTGCTCCCATATACTCCTTTGTACATTCCAGACTCTGCAACGTCTGTCTCCTTCCTCCCTGTCCACCCCCACTTCCCCTCACATGAGTACAGTGCCCACAGCTCCTCCAGGCTGGGGAGAAGAGCTGGCAACCGGCACTTTCTGAGTGAGGGGCTGCTGCCGCCAGGCTTTCTCACCACCACAGCCCCCTGCTGCATTCCCACCCCAACACCCAAACCCGTGTATTAGGTAGCAAGTTATTTGTGCGTTCCCACATTTGGCTAACCAAAGACAAACAGAACCACCATTTAGAGATGCCACTAAGCAGGGTAGCCAGAACCGCCCCCACCGCCCCACCCCTACCCCTGGCACAACCCTGTTAGGTTTTTGTAAACTTGTTTTTTAAGCTCACAGTCCCCAAATGATGCCCTTACAGACTCTTCAGGGTCTAGAGACCCCAGGTTTTTTTTTGAATCACTGCTCCAAGGGCTCAAGGTCTGATGCCCGCTCTTCCCAGGATAACTTGAGTTTTTTAAAAGGATTCGCCTTAAGTAGGCAATGCTTAACTCCTAGGAAAGCTTCCCCTAGCGGTGGGAAGCAAATGGACCAAAGAGGCTTTTAGAAGAATTTTCCTCCCAGATTTCAAGTTTGCTTCACCGATCTCCCTGCCATTTTTTTTTTTTTTTTTTTTTTTTTTTTTTTTTTTTTTTTTTTTTTTTTTTGAGATGGAGTTTCACTCTTGTTGCCCAGGCTGGAGTGCAATGGCACGATCTCAGCTCACTGCAACCTGCACCTCCCTGATTCAAGCGATTCTCCTGCCTCAGCCTTCCAAGTAGCTGGGATTACAGGCATGCGCCACCACACCCAGCTACTTTTGTGTTTTCATTAGAGACGGGGTTTCTCCATGTTGGTGAGGCTGGTCTCGAACTCCCAACCTCAGGTGATCCACCAGCCTCAGCCTCCCAAAGTACTGGGACTACAGGCACGAGCTGCCTCGCCTGGCCTTTGCTGCTGCTTTCTTGGTCCCCTTGTTTTAGGAAATTGATGTCATCCTACACAAAAGCCCAGAAATAAGCAATGAAGGGCAAGATCTGAGATACACACACTTGGGACCAGGACTTTGGGAAGTCAGAGGACTCCCAAGACTTCGTGGAAAAGTGTGGATCTCTCTGGGGATGCAGCGCAGGGGGAGGGGGAGGAGACCGTCATTCAACCAGCTGTGTCCTTCACAGGTGAAGTCTTTTATGCAACCTCTCCAGAGAAGTTCACCTTCCAGGAGGCAGCCAATGAGTGCCGGCGGCTGGGTGCCCGGCTGGCCACCACGGGCCAGCTCTACCTGGCCTGGCAGAGCGGCATGGACATGTGCAGCGCTGGCTGGCTGGCCGACCGCAGTGTGCGCTACCCCATCTCCAAGGCCCGGCCCAATTGCGGGGGCAACCTCCTGGGCGTGAGGACCGTCTACCTGCATGCCAACCAGACGGGCTACCCTGACCCCTCATCCCGCTATGACGCCATCTGCTACACAGGTGGGGCAGGGCTGGAGGTGGAGAGTTCATGCCACTAAAATGGGGTTCTAGAGGAAGAGGAGGTCTTGGAAAGGGAGGGTCGGTTTTCACCCTTGAAGGGGCCACTGGGTACCTGAAGCCCTGTTTTTAGAACACCCCTCCATTTTCACTGGTTCCTAGAAAGCCCTAAGGTAGAGACACTGGAGACTGCAGCGTATCCAGCCCTGTCTCATCAGATCAGCACAGAAAAGGGTTAAAAGCATGAGCTTAGAGCAGGCGTAGGCCGCATGTGGTCCCCCTGAGGCCATTTATCTGCCCCCTCCCCCCCGCCACACTTCAGGAAGGGGCACCTCTTTCATTGGTGGTCAGTGAGAGGAGCACAGTATGTGGCGGCCCTCCAATGGTCTGAGGGACAGTGAACTGGCCTCTTGTGTAAAAAGTTTGGGGACGCCTGGCTTAGAGTGTGTTTTCTCCGGTTTGAATCAAAGCCCTGCCACCTACCGCTGTGCAACCCTGGCAAAGTCAAGGCCCTGAACCTCACTCTTCTCATCTGTCTAGTGGGGAGATGGGGTGCCGCCTGGGAAGACTTTGGGGGTCGATATGAGACCCTGGCACCCACAGGAGGGTGCTGCTATCTGCCTTTTAAAATTGAATGTGTTTAACAAGAGGGTCAAAATGGGTTTTGTTGTGTTTTGGGTGTTTTTGTTTGTTTTCCTTTTAGACAGGTTATCACTCTGTTGTCCAGGCAGGAGTGCAGTGTTGAGATCACAGCTCACTGCAGTCTTAGCTTCCTGGGCTCAGGTGATCCTCCCTCCTCAGCCTCCAATGTAACTGGGTACGTAGGCACCACCAAGCTCTGTTAATTTTTTTTTTTTTTTTTTTTAGAGACAGGGTCTTGTCATGTTGTCCAAACTGGGCAAAATGTTATTATTATTATTATTGTTATTGAGACAGAGTCTCGCTCTGTTGCCCAGGCTGGAGGGCAGTGGCACAATCTTGGCTCATTACAACCTCCACTTCCTGGGTTCAAGCGATTCTTCTGCCTCAGCCTCCTGAGTAGCTGGGATTACCGGTGCACACTACGATGCCCAGCCAATTTTGTATCTTTAGTAGAGTTGGGGTTTCACCATGTTGGCCAGGCTGGTCTTGAACTCCTGACCTCAGGTGATCCACCTGCCTCAGCCTCTGAAAGTGCTGAGATTACATGCATGCGCCACCATGCCCAGCTGCAAAATGTTATTGAAAAGAGTAGGGGAAAGTTTGATGGGGGCTTTATTTTGAAAACTTAGACTAAATGTTTAAATAAGTTTTTATCTTATATTTAACACATTTTGGGTTATAATTATAATCACATGCTAATTCTTGGAGGAAAAACCAATGCATCACATAAATGAGGAGTTGCAAAACTCTCATGTCTCCAGTGGCGTTAACACAATGACAACCCATTACGTGTTTCATTTACACAACCTGATCTTAGTGGAAGAGGGTTGCTTTTGCAACAATATTTGGAATTTCCTCCTTGAAGCCTCTCTTAACCTATTCTAACTGTTCTTTTGGAAGTAGTATCACTCTTATGAGACTCTCATTTGTTTGTGACTATGACACAGGCAGTTCTCCAAAGCCACCTTTATCAATTTCACAAACTGCACCTTCTGCAAGGTTTTCTGATTTCTCTTTATAACTGACTTACCTGCTCCCATTGGATAGTTACACATCAGACGGTTGGCAAGGTGCTTCTGAACGCGTGAAGCAGCAGCTGTGCGGAGCAGGAAGGGATGCTGGGATGGGAACTGATCTTCATGAGCAGTCAGCTCATTGGTCAATATCCTGCCTTCTGATAACTCTTGCACTCTTTTGCAGTCTTGAAACTGTGGGGACGCCTATAATGAACATGCTGATAGCTGGGTACCCCTGCAAGGGGCTTGGCAAGGCGCCTGGCACACAGTGGTGCCCTCCTGCCCCAGCGGGGAAAGAGAAGGAGCCATGCTCATCTCCACTCCTCGTCACCCTCAAGCCTGTCCCTTGAGAGGCTAATAGGCTACACCTCTTAGGCTGAGAGGCTAAGGCTTGTCTTTGTCCCCTCCTCCAGGTGAAGACTTCGTGGACATCCCAGAAAACTTCTTTGGAGTAGGGGGTGAGGAGGACATCACCATCCAGACGGTGACCTGGCCTGACGTGGAGCTGCCACTGCCTCAAAACATTACCGAGGGTGAAGCCCGAGGCAGCGTGATCCTTACTGCAAAGCCCGTCTTCGAGGTCTCCCCCAGTCCTCCGGAGCCCGAGGAGCCCTTCACGTTTGCCCCTGAAATAGGGGCCACTGCCTTTCCTGCGATTGAGAATGAGACTGCAGAGGCCAGCAGGCCCTGGGCCTTTCCCACGCCTGGCCTGGGCCCTGCCACGGCCTTCACCAGTGAGGATCTCGTCGTGCAGGTGACCGCTGTCCCAGGTGCAGCCGAGGTCCCTGGGCAGCCGCATTTGCCAGGGGGTAAGTAGCTGCCCGTAGATGCATCTAGGGGCAGATGGAGAGAATTTGGCCTGGGGGGAAAGGACTCCCACAGTTGAAGGCTGTAACTTCTACTTAACCTGGCACCTCAGACAATCTTCTCTCCAATCAGATCTTGTTGTTTTCATCTGTGAAACAAAAAGAATAGGCCAGACTAGTCAGGTCCACACTCTTTTGCCATGAAGAATTTATTTCAAATGAGGTCGTATGTAGAAACCAGTCTCTATATCAAGCAGACGCACGTGCCACGTGGACCTAAGGGAAATGGAGTGGGGAGCAGCTGGGCCTCCTTCTGTCCAAGGCCCCTCCTTGTCCCATCAGACACCCCCACTAAATAGAGCCACTAGAAAACCACTGCCTTGGATGACCCCTGAGGCTTGTCACTGTTCTGACAAAGGCCAGCAAACTGTGGCCAGCAAAATGTGGCCTTTCTTAAGTCATATGGCCCATGACTTAAGAATGATTTTTACGTTCTTAAATAGGGGCAAAACATCACATATTCAAAAAGTCAATATTTTGTGACACATGAAAATTATATATAATTCAGATTTCAGAGTCCACAAATAAAGTTTGATTGGAACAAAGCCATAGCCATCTGTGGACGGGCTGTCCCTGGCTAACAGAGGACAATCATAGTGAGGTTGAATAGTCAGGATTTCATGTCCGGATTCCACCAACTGTGGATGGAAAATATTCCAAAAGAAAAGAAACAATACTATTTTGTTTTATTTCATTTCTTTTCATTTCCATGAGAATTACTGAAATATTCTTCAATTTGCAATTTTGGAAATTGAACAAAATAACAACACAACAATAAAAGTAACATAAATTTAAAAACAGTACAGTATAACTACTATTCCTATAGTAGTTGACATTGTATCATTGTATCAGGTGTTAGAGGGAACCTAGAGGTGATGTATGGAAATACTACATTTTCATTTCCGGGACTTGAGCATATGTGGATTTCGGTATCTGAGAAGATCCTGGATGGCAAAGATAACTGTAGTTGTAACAGAAGCCACATAGTCCACAAAGCCTGAAATATTTACCATTCGACTCTGCAGAAAACGCTTCTCGCTCCTGTTCTAAGATGACAGTGTTCTAGGTGCTTAACACGTGTGAGAATCAGATGTCAGGGAGCATAGAGCCCAGTGATTCCCAGACTCAAGTCTTTGAAGAAGGACATTCTGGCATGGCCTTGTTCCATAAGGGCCTTGGTGGGTTCCCACGCTGCCATCCACCATCACACCCACATGGCTACCAAGTGGGATTTCAGCCTGCATTGCCCACATAAATCCAGCGTGTCAGGCAGCAGGAGTTGGACTCCCTCTGTGCCCATGGAGCCTTGGGAACTGCACAGCATGGGTCTGTGAACCTGACCGCTGCCTCCTCTTGTCCCCCTCCTCCCCACCCAGGAGTCGTGTTCCACTACCGCCCAGGACCCACCCGATACTCGCTGACCTTCGAGGAGGCACAGCAGGCCTGCCTGCGCACCGGGGCGGTCATTGCCTCGCCAGAGCAGCTCCAGGCCGCCTACGAAGCTGGCTATGAGCAGTGTGATGCTGGCTGGCTACAGGACCAGACCGTCAGGTGAAGCCGTGCTCCTTGCCCAGCACAAACCCAACTGAGGAGGTCAGGCTTAAGGAGCCACAGCCTGGCACGGCCCCCAGCACACTGACCACCCAATACTTTGTGGGTCAATTAATTAATTAGCGACTCAACTGAGGCATATCCTGAAATGGTGGTGAAGGGCACCCGGTCCTGTTCAGTTCTTGGTCATTTCTCCCCATCAGACAGAGGTGGCAGCCCCCTCCTCAAGTGCCCCATTTCCTTCCAGCCTGACCCCATGCCCTTCCATGCAGCTGCTCTCGCCTGAAGACAGAAATCCCCCAGGAGCCACCAGACCCTCCCCCAGGCTGCTAGGAGAACTTGCTGCATGAAGGGCTCCTTCCTGGTTTGAATCCACCAGACAATGAAGACGTGCCTAAGTCCCTGAGTGGCCTCTGGCCTCAGCCCAGCGCCCTGCATCTACCAGCCCCTGGAATAGGCCTTCATCTCCTCCTCCCACTGTCCTTTGCAGATACCCCATTGTGAGCCCACGGACCCCATGCGTGGGTGACAAGAACAGCAGCCCAGGAGTCAGGACCTATGGTGTGCGCCCATCAACAGAGACCTACGATGTCTACTGCTATGTGGACAGACTTGAGGGTACAGGCCACATTCTCACATTTCGGGCCCTAGATAGACAGGGGGCTGACAGGGCAGCTCGAAGAGAGGAAGTTACCACCCACCCACCCCGGATCCCACCCAGCTTTCCAGGTGGAAAAGGGTCCTGCTGAGAAAGGAAGAACCCCAGCCCCTCCCTTAGAAACAGCTCCTGCTCTCCTCCTGAATGTTTCATGTGGTCATAGCATTGCAGGGGAGCATTGGTCCCTTTAAAAAGCAATGAGATCTGTGGGTAAATGTCAGTTTATTATAAATAGATGCTATATACACCAACTGCTTCTTGGAGAGTCCCAATGCCTGGGCACAAATCAAAGGCACTAAGTCCTACAGTAAACAAACAAGCAAAAACCACTTAGGCCAGGCACAGTGGCTGACACCTGTAATCCTAGAACTTTGGGAGGCCAAGGCAGGTGGATTGCTCTAGCCCAGGAGTTCGAGACCAGCCTGGGCAACATGGCTAAAGCCTGTCTCTATACTTATTTTTTAAAAAAGAAAAAGGGCCAGGCGCGGTGGCTCACGCCTGTAATCCCAGCACTTTGGGAAGCTGAAGCAGGCAGATCACGAGGTCAGGAGCTCGAGACCAGCCTGACCAACATGGTGAAACCCCATCTCTACTTGTGTGTGCCTGTAATCCTAGCTACTCAGGAGGCTCAGGCAAGAGAACTGCTTAAAGCCAGGAGGCAGAGGTTGCAGTGAACTGAGATTGCACCACTGCACTCCAGCCTGGTGACAGACTGAGACTCTGTCAAGAGAAAGAAGAGAAAAGAAAGAAAGAGAGAAAGGAAGGAAGGAAGGAAAGAGAGAAAGAAAGAACGAAAGAAAGAAAAAGAAAGGAGGGAAGGAGGGAGGGAGGGAGGGAGGGAAAGAAGGAGGGAAGGAAGAAAGGAGAAACTTCTTTAACTCTCTTTAACTCAGCATTGCTCAATTTTTAACCACAGACCTTTATTTTCTTTTATTTCTTTTAATTTCCATGAAAATTACCAAATTATTCTTCCACTGAATGCAATTTTAGAAATGCTGGTATTCCAGAAAGATTTCAGTATTGCCACTCACTTGTTTCAAGACCCTGGCCAAGTCACTTAACCTCTCTAGGCCTCAGTTCCTTCATCTATAAAATGGGGCTGATTTATATGTACATCAGAGGCTTTTTTTTTTTAAAGTATTAAATGAAATATGTATGAAACGTTCTTGGAACAAAAAAGTGTTCAGTTAAGTGTAAGCTCTCCTCCCGCTGAACTGTATAGGTACCGGGTGCATTGCTAGGTCCTGGGACCCAGGCCTTGCCATGGATGAGTTCCCAGGGTGTGGGGTGAGCAGGTCCCCAGCAGTCACAGTGATAAGTGTAGGGGTGCACAGGGATTGGAGGGGACCAACGAGAGCCGCCTCACTTAGCTAAGGGAGGTGATGCCTAAGTGTGACTGGAGAATCCAGAAGACAGGGAAGGAGATGTTGTGGAAACAACTCAGCCCAGTTTGACTGGAATTTTGGCTTTTTTGGCACTGAGAGTCCTGTGTCCCAAGAAAGCCCAGTCCAGTACAAACCAGAGTGGTGATCACCTATTTCTCAGGGTCCCAGAAAATCTAAGGCGAAGTGGTCATAGGAGGAGTATGATGGAGCTGAGCGGGGTCTTAGCCCTGGTGAGGAGGGTTGGAGGAACTCTTTCCCGGATGGGCAGGGACTGATCTGGCCTGAGTGTGGAGGGTCATTCTACCACTTGCCTCTGCCCCCAGGGGAGGTGTTCTTCGCCACACGCCTTGAGCAGTTCACCTTCCAGGAAGCACTGGAGTTCTGTGAATCTCACAATGCCACGCTGGCCACCACGGGCCAGCTCTACGCCGCCTGGAGCCTCGGCCTGGACAAGTGCTATGCCGGCTGGCTGGCCGACGGCAGCCTCCGCTACCCCATCGTCACCCCAAGGCCTGCCTGCGGTGGGGACAAGCCAGGCGTGAGAACCGTCTACCTCTACCCTAACCAGACGGGGCTCCCAGACCCGCTGTCCCGGCACCATGCCTTTTGCTTCCGAGGTAGGCATCCTCGCCCGGGCTCCAGCAGCCCCTTTTGTCTGGAGAGGATTCCCCTGGGCTCACCCCTCCTGGCACCGCCCACTATCGCATCCATCAGAGCAAGAAAAAGTCAGTCCTTATGGGGCAGGGCCAGCTCCGAAGCCAGCATGACGCAGGCTTTGACCTCAAGGCAAGGTCATCCTCTAAAGTTCCCCAGAGACAAGTAGAGATAAATAAGAACTTGGGCTCATATTTATCTCTACTGGAAATGAGGCAGATCTGAATTTGATGGTTCTGCTACTTAAGAGCTGTGTGAAAATGCTACTTCAGAGGCAGCTGCAAGAATTGAGTGCATGTGGTGCCCTTGACATAGTGCCTGGGACACAGTAAATGCTCAATAAATGTTAGCTTTATTTCATATACTTATATATATGTAAAGCTATCATATATAGCTTTATTTTATATGACCTGTAATTTGTACACACTTGTCAAACTCTCTCCTGTTTGAAACTATTTCTCTGTTGAGTTCAGTGAAATTCTATTTTTCTCCGCTAAGCACTGGTGATTCACATTTTTCATTGACTCATGCTACGGATATGCTAGCATTTCAACCATGACTCCCAGTTGGACTTCTGAGAGTGATGTCATCAAGCAGTGTAGTATGTGTGGCCAGGGTGTAGCCAAGACATTGTGGGGCTCTGATTGGATGAGTTCCTGCACAGGCCATGGAGGGTCTGAATGCATGGATCAGAATGTAGATTGTAATAACAGCCTGTGCCATGTTTCAGATATTTTACATCAAAACTGAGTGTCTTCGCAACTTCCTGTGAATCTATAATTATTTTCAAATAAGGGAAAACAATTTGAGTGTCCCCAAGTTTCCCAGATATCCAGGGTCACCTTTTAAAACAAGGCTGGGAGCAGTGGCTCACACCTGTAATCCCAGCACTTTGGGACGCCGAGGCAGGCAGATCACTTGAGGTCACGAGTTCGAAACCAGCCTGGCCAACATGGCAAAACCCTGTCTCTAATTTTAAAAAATGCAAAGATTAGCTGGGCATAGTGGTGTGTGCCTATAATCCCAGCTATTAGGGAGGCAGAGGCAGGAGAATCACTTGCTGGGAGGCAGAGGTTGCAGTGAGCCAAGATTGCTCTGTTGCACTTCAGCCTGGGCAACGGAGCAAGACTCTATCTCAAAAAAAAAAAAAAAAAAAAAAAAAAAAAAAATCGAAGTTCAGCCCCACTCAGACTCAGCCAGCCTCAAAAAGTCAAATCTTCTCCCAGAGGCTCTGATGAGGCTCTTGTCCCAGTGCCCCTCCCCCTGCTCTGGGAAGCAGAAGCCACGCCGGTTCCGCCCAGGAACTTCCCAACCATGCTATCCCCAGCCTCCCACCTCTGCCCTCCATGAACTCAGCTTTGTATATTATCCTATATACAAAGGATATTTCTGACCTTGGATATTCAGCAGAATATTTCTGACCAAGCCCCTGCTGATTTTCCCCACACCAGAACAGCTGCCCCCAGCCCATGAATCCTGCCTTCACACTTTCAGATGCCCTGATGGTTTCATGGGATTTAAGCACCATCCTCCTGTTTTTGGTCCTGACACACTTGGCACATAATCTCCATCCCCAGGATCAGCAGCGTTGTTCAGTAGCTGAGAGCATGGAGTCTGGCACCAGATGCCTGAATTCAAAGACTACATGTGCCATTTGTAAGCCACTGACCCTGGGCAAATGATGTATCTCTGTGCCTCAGTTTCCCCATTTGTAAAATGAGATAATTGTATCTCTCTCATAAAGCTGTTGTGAGATAAAGTGATTCTGTATACATCAGCCTTTAGAGCAATACCTGGCATGTGTGATTGATTCTGCAGGGGAGATGCCCCAGATCACCCGGAACGAAACTGCTGATGGTGCATATGGATATTGTATCATTGGTGCCGATGGCTCTTACTAAGTGAGAAGGCAAAGAGCCATCCTCTGAATTAGGAGGTGGGGCCCGGCCCACCTCAGAGTCCCCTAACTCCCCTCAAGAAGGGCCAGCCAAGGATGGGTCACTGCTAAGAGAGGGACCCACTCTCACCACCCACATGTTTTCTAGGCGTTTCAGCAGCTCCTTCTCCAGGAGAAGAAGAGGGTGGCACACCCACATCACCCTCTGGTGTGGAGGACTGGATCGCGACCCAAGTGGTACCTGGTGTGGCTGCTGTCCCCGTAGGGGAGGAGACAACTGCTGTACCCTTAGGCGAGACTACTGCAGTCCCAGAGTTCACCACTGAGCCAGAAAACCAGACAGAATGGGAACCCACCTACACCCCAATGGGCATATCCCCGCTGCCAGGTTGGTATGGCTTGGGTTCCAGGGCACACCCTGAAGCTGTATACCCCTGTCTGCCTACAGTGTCCCTGGTGGAGTGGGGGTTTCCCTCCCTGGGATTTGTGCTGTTTCTCCAGCCCTGACACCGGCTGGGTGTGCTGCTGTGGGCATTTTTATCCACCTCAGCTGGCCTTTCAGGACCTGCCCTAGAGTGATAAAAACAGCCTTGTTCAGAAAACGCTTCCATACACATTTACTGTTCTGTCCTTTATTTTCCTTGCACGCACCCCCAAATGCCCTAGACTGTGCTGATCAGAAGCCCCTCAGTCACCTTGTCCTCCCGCACTGACACTCTTACCCTAACCTCAACCCTCTCTTGCAGGAGGAGAAAGAACCAGGGACGGGGTTACTGTTGGCAGTCTGACTGTGACTGTCTCCTCGTCTTTCTCCTCCTTCCATGTCCCTCTTCTGGGCCAGCCCCCCTCAGCCAGAACTTCCTGAACTCCGTCTGTCACAATTAAACCAGAGGAGACTTAACAGGATGAAAGCAGCAGTCCCTAAACATTGTTGGTAACGTGTTTCGTGGCCACTAAGGTTTGGGAAATGCTGGCTTACAGAGATGAACAGGTTTCCTCACTGCAGACTTCTCAGAGCCTTGAATATGCTAGCTAATATGCACTGTAAGTCTCCAAGAGGAGGTGAGAGATGTAGTGTGTCCGAAATGAACCTGACAGCAGAGCCTGCCCCCACTCCCACAGAGCACTGTTAACATCTAGCAGCTTCCAGCTGAGGTAAGCCTGATTTAAAACAGTGTACAGTAGTGTGTGTGTGTCCAGGCAGTTCTCCTGGGGGCTACATGCATCTGAAAAAAGGAGTGTATCTGAGCTCCTACTAATTCATCATCCAGCCATGCATCAGCATTCTGTGCATGGTTCTAGAGCAATTTGGCCATGCCAGGCGCTCTTCTGGGCACTGGAAATGCAAAGCCTGGCCTCCCTCCATATCAGAAGGTTAGGGTGCCTCTGTAGAGCGGGGGTGAGTCTGGCCCAGCAGCCTCACCCAGCAGCTGCACCTGCTCATGGCCTCCCTCGCCCTTCACCAGGACAAGAATGACTGAGTCCTCTTTGGCATCAGGGTATGGCTTTGAACAGGACTCTGGCAACCACTAGTGGGAAGTTAGCAGTGGGAAAGTAGCTCCAGCAGCCCTGTAGAAATGTTTTCCAGACTTCAGTTCCTGACCACCTTGCTGATTTCAGCCGTATCTGGGAACCATCTGCACTATTGTTTGTTTGTGTCTTTTTCTTTAAATTGACTTGCTTTCAGAAAAGAAATGTAAACCTGAGTTCGGTCGCTCATGCCTGTAATCCCAGCACTTTGAGAGGCCAAGGTGGGAGGACCATTTGAGGCCAGGAGTTTAAGACCAGCCTGGCCAACATGGTGAAACCTAGTGTCTACTAAAAATACAAAAATTAGCCAGGTGTGATGGTATGCACCCTGTAGTCCCAGCTACTCAGGAGGCTGAGGCAGGAGAACCACTTGAATCCAGGAGGCAGAGGTTGCAGTGAGCGGAGATGGCACCACCACACTGAGGTCTGGACAACAGAGTGAGACCCTGTCTCCAAAAAAGAAAGAAAGAAAGAAATGTAAATTTATTTAAGAGGGAACTGTTATATTATAAATGCAAATGGTTATCCTGGTGTGTTTCATAGATAGACAGATACATACATATATACATACATACATACATATCAAAATAAAAATAATCTTTTTCTGGGTCCTGCCAAGCTAATTTTTTTTTTCTGCATGGCACCACTGCTACCCTTCAGGCCCCGCCGCTCCCTCTATGATTCTCCTCTCAGCAAGAACAAACTGAACCTGCTCAGTGGACCCAGCACCCTCAGTGCTCAGCTGGGAAGTAGGCCCCATGGCACACACAAGGTTAAAATGCGGTGCGGGAAAGAAGACCTAAAGCAAAGGATGTAGCCTTGATTATTTAGAATTACGGGGTTTCCCTTTTCCTTTGCTCTACTTTTCAAATTGTCTGTAATAGGGTTCTCAGAATGGGAAAAAGTCGCTGTATGTTTACAAACAGCACCACCTTTCTCTCCCTTCCTCAGACGGATGGCTTCAGATGCACAGTTCTTACATTCAGACGAGTTCCAGCATCACAGGGAGGGCTTGCTAAAATACAGCGTGCCAGGCTCCTCCCCAGAGTTGCCGAATCAGTGGGGCTGGGGCGAGGTCTAGGAATTTGCTTTTCTATCAAGCTCCCTCCCAGAGGATGCTGGCGCTGTGAGTCCAAGCTTTGAAAACCATGACACCAGATCAATGAGATAGGAATGTGGAAGTACTTGCAGGGTGACCTTGGTGGTCTTTGGTGGTGGCCAGGCCCCCACATCCAGTGGGTTGTGTGGATAGTGGCCCCGTGTCTCACACAAAGTAAGCCTGTGTAGCCCATGGTCCTGTGGGCAATTGGGGGAGCTTCCCAGTTCCCTATCTCCCTCCTTCCCTTCTCCCTAGCCTCCTGCCTTCCCTTCTCCCTATCCTCCTGCCTTCTTCCCTCCCTCCCTCCCTTCCTTCCTTCCTTCCTTCCTTTCTTCTTTCCTTCTTTTCTCCCTTCCTTCCTTCCTTTGATACTTTACACATTTCCATTAGAAAGCATCCAGCCACATCTCGGAGCTCTTGAGAGAAAGATTTTACTGTGGAAATAATGAGGTTCAGATTCTATGTATGAGCTTAAAATGGGGCAGAGTTAACAAACCCACATCTCATCTTTCTTCCTTCTTTCCTACAGGGATCCTTCCGACTTGGCCTCCCACTGGTGCAGCAACAGAGGAAAGCACAGAAGGCCCTTCTGCAACTAAAGTGCCCTCAGCCTCAGAGGAACCATCCCCCTCAGAGGAGCCATTCCCCTCGGTGGAACCATTCCCCTCAGTGGGGCCATCCCCTTCAGCAGAGCCGTCCCCCTCAGTGGAACCATTCCCCTCAGTGAGGCCATCCCCTTCAGCAGAGCCGTCCCCCTCAGTGGAACCATTCCCCTCAGTGAGGCCATCCCCTTCGGTGGAGCCATCCCCCTCAGTGGAACCATTCCCCTCCCAGGAGCCATCCCCCTCAGAGGAGCCATCAGCCTCAGAAGAGCCATATACACCTTCACCCCCCATGCCCAGCTGGACTGAGCTGCCAGGCTCTGGGGAAGAATCTGGGGCCCCTGAAGTCAGTGGTGACTTCACAGGCAGTGGAGATGCTTCAGGACACCTTGACTTCAGTGGGCAGCTGTCAGGGGACAGGGCAAGTGGGCTGCCCTCTGGAGACCTTGACTCCAGTGGTCTTACTTCCACAGTGGGCTCAGGCCTGCCTGTGGAAAGTGGACTGGCCTCAGGGGATGGAGAGAGAATTGAATGGTCCAGCACACCTATAGTTGGTGAACTGCCCTCTGGAGGTGAGATCCTAGAGGGCTCTGCCTCTGGAGTTGGGGACCTCAGTGGACTTCCTTCTGGAGAAGTTGTAGAGACTTCTGCCTCTGGAGTAGGAGATCTCAGTGGATTTCCTTCTGGAGAAGTTCTAGAGACTTCTGCCTCCGGAGTAGGAGACCTTAGTGGACTTCCTTCTGGAGAAGTTCTAGAAACTTCTGCCTCTGGAGTAGAAGATCTCAGTAGACTTCCTTCTGGAGAAGTTCTAGAGACTTCTGCCTCTGGAGTAGAAGACCTCAGCAGACTTCCTTCTGGAATAGAAGGTCTAGAGATTTCTGCCTCTGGAGTAGGGGACCTTAGTGGACTTTCTTCTGCAGGAGAAGTTCTAGAGACTACTGCCTCTGGAGTAGGGGACCTCGGTGGGCTTCCTTCTGGAGAAGTTCTAGAGACTTCTACCTCTGGAGTAGGAGACCTCAGTGGACTTCCTTCTGGAGAGATTCTAGAGACTTCTACCTCTGGAGTAGGGGACCTCAGTGGACTTCCTTCTGGAGGAGAAGTTCTAGAGACTTCTGCCTCTGGCGTAGAGGACATCAGTGGGCTTCCTTCTGGAGAAGCTATAGAGACTTCTGTCTCTGGAGTAGAGGATGTCAGTGAACTTCCTTCAGGAGAAGGTCTAGAGACCTCTGCTTCTGGGGTAGAGGACCTCAGCAGGCTCCCTTCTGGAGAAGTTCTAGAGACTTCTGCCTCTGGAGTCGGGGACCTCAGTGGACTTCCTTCTGGAGGAGAAGTTCCAGAGACTTCTGCCTCTGGAGTTGGGGACCTCAGTGGACTTCCTTCTGGAGGAGAAGATCTAGAGACCTCTGCTTCTGGAGCAGGGACTGACCTCAGTAGACTTCCTTCTGGAAGGGAGGGTCTAGAGACTTCAGCTTCTGGAGCTGAGGACCTCAGTGGATTGCTTTCTGGAAAAGAAGACTTGGTGGGTTCAGCTTCTGGAGACTTGGACTTGGGTAAACTGCCTTCTGGAACTCTAGGAAGTGGGCAAGCTCCAGAAACAAGTGGCCTTCCCTCTGGATTTAGTGGCGAGTATTCTGGGGTGGACCTTGGAAGTGGCCCATCCTCTGGCCTGCCTGACTTTAGTGGACTTCCATCTGGATTCCCAACTGTCTCCCTAGTGGATTCTACATTGGTAGAAGTGGTCACAGCCTCCACTGAGAGTGAACAGGAAGGGAGGGGAACCATTGGCATCAGTGGTGCAGGAGAAGTGTCTGGGCTGCCTTTCAGTGAGCTGGACATTAGTGGGGGAGCTAGTGGACTCCCTTCAGGAACTGAACTCAGTGGCCAAGCATCTGGGTCTCCTGACATCAGTGGGGAAACATCTGGACTCTTTGGTGTCAGTGGACAGCCCTCAGGGTTTCCTGACATCAGTGGGGAAACATCTGGGGTTTTTGAGGTTAGTGGGCAGCCATCAGGGTTTCCTGACACCAGTGGGGAAACATCTGGGGTGACTGAGCTTAGCGAGGTATCCTCTGGACAACCAGGTGTTAGTGGAGAAGCATCTGGAGTTCTTTATGGCACTAGTCAACCATTTGGCATAACCGACCTGAGTGGAGAAACATCCGGGGTCCCTGATCTCAGTGGGCAGCCTTCAGGGTTGCCAGAGCTCAGTGGGGCAACATCAGGAATCCCTGGACTGGTTTCTGGTGCCACGAGTGGCAGTGGTGAATCTTCTGGCATTACATTTGTGGACACCAGTTTGGTCGAAGTGACCCCTACAACATTTAAAGAAGAAGAAGGCTTGGGGTCTGTGGAGCTCAGTGGCCTCCCTTCGGGGGAGGAAGATCTGTCAGGCAAATCTGGGATAGCAGATGTCAGTGGACAGTTTTCTGGAACAGTCGATTCCAGTGGGTTTACATCCCAGACTCCAGAATTCAGTGGCCTACCAAGTGGCATAGCTGAGGTCAGTGGAGAACCCTCCGGAGCTGAGAGTGGGAGCACCCTGCCCTCGGGAGCGTATTCTGGCAGTGGACTTCCGTCTGGTTTCCCCACTGTTTCTCTTGTAGACAGAACTTTGGTGGAATCTGTAACCCAGGCTCCAACAGCCCAAGAAGCAGGAGAAGGGCCTTCTGGCATTATAGAACTCAGTGGTGCCCATTCTGGAGCACCAGACCTGTCTGGGGACCATTCTGGGTTTCTGGACCTAAGTGGGCTGCAGTCTGGGCTGGTAGAGCCCAGTGGAGAGCCACCAAGTACTCCGTATTTTAGTGGGGATTTTGCCAGCACCACTGATGTAAGTGGAGAAACCTCTGTAGCCGTGAGCACCAGTGGAGAGGCGTCGGGACTTCCAGAAGTTACTTTAATCACTTCTGAGTTCATGGAGGGTGTTACTGAACCAACAGTTTCTCAGGAACTTGGCCAGGGGCCCCCTGTGACACATACACCCCAGCTTTTTGAGTCCAGTGGAGAAGCCTCTGCAGCTGGGGACATTAGTGGAGTTACCCCAGTGCTCTCTGGGTCTGGAGTAGAAGTGTCATCTGTCCCAGAATCTAGCGGTGAGACGTCCGCCTATCCTGAGGCTGGGGTCGAGGTATCTACTGCCCGTGAGGCCAGTGGAGAAGCTTCTGGGTCCCCTGATCTGAGTGAAACCACCTCTGCATTCCACGAAGCTGACCTCGAGAGATCCTCTGGCCTAGGAGTGAGCGGCAGCACTTTGACTTTTCAAGAAGGTGAGGGGTCAGCTGCTCCGGAAGTGAGTGGTGAATCCACCACCACTGATGACGTGGGGATGGAGGCATCAGTCTTGCCTTCAGCCACTGCCATGGCTTCTGGAGACAGGACTGAAATCAGCGGAGATCTGTCTGGTCACACCACGGGGCTGGGTGTTGTCATGAGCACCAGCCTACCGGAGTCTGAGTGGACCCAGCAGACCCAGCGCCCTGCAGAGGCACATCTAGAAATTGAGTCCTCAAGCGTCCTATACTCAGGAGAAGAGACTCAAACAGCCGAAACAGCCGCCTTCCCAACAGATGCTTCCATCCCATCTTCTCCAGAATGGACAAGTGAATCAGAGTCAACAGTTGCAGGTATCGTTGGGATTTTTTTTTTCCCCCTTTAAATGTGCTTGGGTAGTTCAGACTGTAGGCTACTGTAGTGTAGAAGGAGGCAGCATAGCTTTAAGGTTCTAAGAACAGCTCCACCATAGGTTAGCTTTGCAGCCTCAGGCAAGAGTCTTCACCTCTCTGAGCCTCATCTGTAACATAAAAGTAGGATAATACTATACCAGGGAAGATTAAGCAGAGTATAAACATAGACAAAGTGAGCACTTAGCATCACACTGTGCACACTTACGAAGATTAGTGATGTTCTCATTACAGCAGTGTTACAATCCATGAGTTTTCACATTGAATTCAACTGTCTGTACTTGGCACAGGGAGAGAAGTATGACTGTTTAGATAGTGCTAGAAATTCTGCTCATGCACCCTACCCTGGAGTGAGTGTGAGATGAGAAAGTAAATCTGTAACTTCTGACCATCCATGAATTAAAAAAAAGAGAGAGAGGGAGTAAATCTGACGGTGTTTATTTCTGGCTATTTATTTTGTGCAGGGTTAAAACCTATACAGTTTGGCCGGGCGCGGGGGCTCACACCTGTAATCCCAGCACTTTGGGAGGCCGAGGCGGGTGGATCATGAGTTCAGGAGATCGAGACCATCCTGGCCAACATCGTGAAACTCCGTCTCTACTAAAATACGAAAAAATTAGCTGGACAGTAGCATGTCTGTAGTCCCAGCTACTCAGGAGGCTGAGGCAGGGGAATCACTTGAACCTGGGAGTCGGAGGTTGCAGTGAGCTGAGATCCGTGCCACTGCACTCTAGCCTGGTGACAGAGCATGACGCTGTCTCAAAAACCAAACAGAACAAAAACCTGCACAATTGAAGAAACTATGAAGTGACATTTTGGCCGTCTGGCTCTAGATTCTGCAGCCCCAACCCCACCCCTGTACAAAGGGTTTTCTGTACTATCAAGCTTGTCTCACCATGACATAACCCTAAGCACTGGGCAGTGGGTACTAGTAGCTGATTTTCCTTTGCTTTTTGATCTGGGATCTTTTGTACCTTCCTTTGTGCTGAGAGAGCTTTCACAGCTGTAGAGCTCCCCGTGACGGTCAGGTGCCCAGGAGGGAGAGGGGCCCCAGAAAAGTGTTGACCCAAAGCCAGCCTCGTGGACTTCAGGGACCTCATGCCCCAACTTTGAGGTCTTGGAGGTCAGGGTAGCCAGGTGACCGTGTTCTTGATGCTCAACCTCTCCCCTGGGGGTTGCAGCCCCCACCAGGTCCTGCGCGGAGGAGCCCTGTGGCGCTGGGACCTGCAAGGAGACAGAGGGACACGTCCTGTGCCTGTGCCCCCCTGGCTACACTGGCGAGCGCTGCAACATAGGTAAGGCTCTCACTGGCCGTGGGGAGTTAGGGCAGAGGCGCTGGACACACTCCTTCAGGCCCCAAAGGGCCCCCAGGCGGGAGTTGGTAACAAGGTCCACAGAGGCTCAGGCTTCTCAGGCTGGGAAGGAGCTGCACGAGGACGTGTCGGGGGCAGAAGCCACAGGACAGACATGGCTCATCTTTCTTGAATGTCTAGCTTTAGGAGAAAAGAGTCAAGTAGTTAAGCTGGTAAGTATTTTTATATCAAGCCAATGACTATTGTATCAGTAGAATGAAAAGTGTGCTTGAATTTTGGAGATAAAACTTGAGACTTCAAAGACATATTGAGCGTGAGGTGAGTATTAAATAGAGCGGGTCACACCTCGCCGCTCCTGGCGAAGAGTCTCTAAGTGAGGCTGTCTTGTATCATGCAGAGTGAACCCCACCAAGTTGCTTCCATGCTTGGGCGTGGGTGGGGTTTGGGTCCCCTTCTTGCTCTGAAGGAAATGACACAGACAGCGTTAGTCACCCAGCACAGGGATCCATGGCTGTAGGGCAGCTGTGACCCAGCAGTGTGCCTGCCTAGGCACCCACCATGAGCCTATTTGTCCTTAGCCATGGGTGGAGCATGTGGGATGGGTTGAGAGCCTGGGGACCCTTTGATCTGAGGTGGACCCCAGAAGGAGATGGTTAGAATCTACCTGTTGTTCCAAAGACACACGGGAGGCCTGTGCCCATAAGGATATCTCATCTCATTAACGTCACCACCCTGGAGGAAAGAAACGCCCAGTTACCACCAAGCTCGTGTTCTTCAGTTAGTTCTCCCACTGCCCTGGTGCCCTTATCCCTTGCCTCCCTCCTAAGTCAAGAATCAGAGACCTAGGGTCTTTCATAAAAGGGATCACTCCTAGGACATGTTCAAAAATGAAAAAATGAATCCTGGAGAAAGAACAACCGCTTCCAGGTAAACCACGCTGGGCAATTATCCTTCGATAGCCTTTACATGAAAGACAGAGAAGAATTCTGTGTTTTTATATATTAATATATATGCAAATTAATGCATGATTATATGTTATATATTAAATATATCATGTAATATAAACATGCTATAAACTTGGTACTTATGCAGTAACTATTTTTATATCTATATAAACAGGCACTTGGGTAAACATTCATTCACTCTTTCCCCAGCGTGTAGGCTCCAAGGACAGGCAGGGTGGGATATCCTGGAAAGGTCCCGGGCTTACTGCAGAAGGGGACAGCATTTCCACTGGGCCATAGTGACCCAAGGGTCTGTAGCTGCATCCCACCATCACTCACCCCGATGGGTGACTCCACTCTTAGCAAATCTTTCTCAATCTGGTACTTAAGGCAAAAATCTGACACTAGCATCAGAAGTCAAAGCAAGGCTCATGTTCTTGGAAGCCCTGAAATTAGAAGTAACTGGCAGTGGGCTCTAACCATTCTGCTGTAAGGACAGCCTTTCTGTGATCATGTATATTTCCAAAGGGCTTTTGTTCCCACGATTTCTCCCCAGACAGCTCTGTGTTAAGTTTGGTAACTATCTCCATTTGAAACTGGAACACAGAGGAGTGAAGTAATTTGCCTAACTCTGAGTAAGTGGATCGAATCAAGAATAAAGAACTTAATTCACTTGTTTGACACACTCAGCTAAATAAGAAACTCCCTCTTGAACGTAACGGCTAGTTGTTGGTCTCAAAAAACTGAAGCTGGACTGCAGGGGAGCCAGAGTGGAGAGGAGCTGAGGAAGCCAGGGTGGTCAGATTCAAGACTTACAGCCCAGCCTTCATTTCCCGCATTTATAAACAGGGATCAGTGGTCGTGGTTCTCAGCTTTGAAAAATTACGATGCCTGAGATCTTTACCCACAGATGGTGACTGAAGTGGTTCTGTGGCCTTGGCATTGGGGTTTTGTAAACTCCCAGGTGACTCCCATGTGCAGCTAGGGCTGAGAATCGCTGCTATGAGGGTTGAGATCACCCGTGTACAGCATCTGGTCAGAAGAGACATTTAGTAAAAATTGCTTCGCTTTCCCCATCTCTCACTCTACTGGCTGAGAGAAGTTTTAGCATCTCCAAAGAGTGAGTGGTAGGGATCAGCCCAGCACAAAACCTGGGTATCTTTTCCCATGTTCGTACCTTGGAGTCCCAGGTCACTCCTGTTCAATTTAGCTCGAGGTTCAAGTGAGTCCAGAAAGACTGCAGATAGTGGCCAGTCTCCAGGGCTGACCCACCATTGTCTTGCACCAGAACCAGGAACCACAGGTTGTTAAAAAAGACCATGGATCAGTATTCTCAAGGGCCACAGGGAGCAAAATGCAGCATGATTCCCACAGTAATATTTGAATCCTCAGGGAAAACTTCCACCTGGTAAAGGGGGTCAGAAGCTGTATGTAGTCCTTAAAAAAGAAAATGACAATTACTATCATCTTGTGTAGTCAGTCTTCCATAAATAAGTTCTTGATAAATTATTATAAGTTATCGATAACTTATCAGTTATCAATCAGTACTTTTGACTTCAAAATTAAGATCTATGTTTAATGTCGTGGCTCACACCTGTAATCTCAGCACTTTGGAAGGCTGAAGTGGGCAGATCACTTGAGCTCAGGAGTTCAAGACCAGCCTGGGCAACATATTGAAACCCCATCTCTGTTAAGGAAAAAAAAAAAAAAAAAGTCAAGATATGTTGAATGAATACTCTGATTCTTTAGCAATTAAAAGCAGGTGACAGTGGGACCTAACCATTCTGCTGTAGGGACAGCCGTTCTGTGATCCTGTACTGACCCACTTCAAAAGCAGCAGCATTTTGCCTACTGCCATTACTGACAGCAGCACCCATGGGAATTAGGCTTCAGACTCTGAGCTTTCTATCCTTGCTGCAGCTTCGAATCACCTGGGGTGCCTTCAAAAAGCATCATGCCTGGGCCCCACTCTGAGAGAGTCTGATCCAGTTGGTCTAATGAAGAACTTCAGCATTGGTATTTTTAAAAAAAAATCTTTAAATAAGAATATTTTTAAAGTTATTCCAGTAATTCTAATGTGCCAGCCAAGGTTGAAAAATACCGTTTTAATCAGATCTCACATCCAATTTCCAGTCATCATGGGTGCTGTATGGATTTCTCTTATCTCCTCTGTTAGACAGGCATGACCTTAAGCTTAATCAGTCTCCTTCCTATCTTACTGCTGTTTTTCACTTTCTGGGTTTGAAGCTCTGTTCTATGACCTTACACTCTCTCTTTCTCTAGGAGAGATGTCTGAATGTCAGCAAAACCTCTATCCCTGGGAAAGAAATGTTTTCAAAGCAAATGAAAATGCAGGGTTGCCGGTGAAAATACAAAGTATACCTTCTTGACTTAACCAAAAAGTTTCTGGGTGGATTTTAACAGGCAACTAATTGATTTAAGAAAAAGGATATTTTGGTGCACACCTGTAAACCCAGAACTTTGGGAGGCCAAGGCAGGAGGATCACTTGAGCCCAGGAGTTCAAGAACAGACTGGGCAACACAGTGGGATCCCATCGCTACAAAATTTTTTTAAAAAAAACTAGCTGGCCATGGTGGCGAATGCTTGTAGACCCAGCTACTTGGGAAGCTAAGGTGAGAGGATCACTTGAACCCAGGAAGTCAAGACTGCAGTGAGCTATGGTTGTGCCACCGTACTCCAGCCTGGGTGACAGAGTTAGACCCTATCTCAAAAAAAAAAAAAAAAAAAAAAAAAAAAAAGAAGAAGAAGAAGAAGCAAGATATTAAAGTTACATTCAAGATCAACCTTTAAGCAAAAGATTTGAAATGGTACAAATAATGACAGCATACTTTTTAATTCAATTATTTTCTCTTAAAAGGAAATTAGGACTGGTAAATATGTTTTTATGATCCTTCTCTCATTTGTGTAACAGGCTGAACCAGAAAGTCAGTGTATCTACTCAGGTCTGTTCATCTTGTTTGATCCCAGGTCTTTGCAGCATGCAGAGCATCCACTGAGTTGACAGATTTTCTCTGTATTTCTTGAGCGGTTTTCCCCATCCTTGCCCAGGAAAGTTATGTCCAGAGTCATCACATACAGCTGCACAAGTGAGCACTGGACAACTTGAGGAGTTCTATTCATATTGTAGTCTTTATGAGTGGCAACCCTTTTAGTCAAGTATCATTTGAGTGAAAACACCTGCGTACCTCTTCATTCAGTATTTTTTTTATGAGCAAATAAGCTGTCACTCACTCTGGGCTCTGACCTAGGCAAAAGCTGGGCAAGATCTGTTCAAGGAGGAGGCCTGAGGTCTCCAATTCAGACAACCGCGTGATGATTTGCAAGTATCTCTACTCCCCTAGCCTTTACCAGGGGCTCACAGTTATTTTCCCTCCCAAGTTAGAGATATTGCTGAAGGGCCTTGTTCAGGAACAAACCAGCCCTTTTGGTTATAGCAGTAGGAAGAGGACCCTGAGAGTCCTGATGCTCCCCAGAGTCTCTGCTCAGTGATGATGGGTGAGCCCTGGGTGGTTGTAGCAGCAATGGTGAGGAAGTGCTGGGAATCCGGGACTCCAGTGTCTCTCCCCCTCCATGTGGGGCAGAGGCCCAACTTCCAGTCTCATTTCTTGATTCCTCCATCTCTTCCATTCTGTCTCCCCAACACCCAAGTTGGGCAATCCAATTCACCTGTTTTCTTTTTGTTCTCTCTTTCTTTCTTTTACTGTTTCTTTTTTACATCTCAAACACGTTAAAGAATTCACTTGTTTTTCTCAGCTATAAATGGCATAGTGATGTCTTGCCACCTGGCCATTGGAAAACGTGTGTGTGAGTCAGCACTTGGCTCACAGGAGGGTCTTGACAGTTACTGGTTTCCTCCCTTTCCTCTCTTTCTCTATGAAGCCTGCCCATTGCCCAAAGCCCTTCCCTCCCTTCACTAGCAAGCTCCTTATCCGGATCCCTCACTCTGCGTTCACAGCAGGGCCCAGCCCAACTCCTCTATCAGTTCCAGAAGCCACGAGCTGTCCTAATTGCCCTTCTCAGAAAGAGGTGGGACATGCAGGGCCAGAATGGCCCTTTCAGCCAGAGCAAGAGGAAATGAGGCACCATAGGCCAAAAGAGCTAATAAGAAAGTCCCACACGGACACCTGGCCTTCTGCCCACTGCTGAAGATGCTGACTCAGCCTCTCCAAATTGCCCCGACGGCAACCACAGGTTTTCTGGTTTTCAGGATTGTGGCCCTTCTTTCCCTCCTGATCTGTAAATCCAGGGCACTGAAAAAAAGCTTCTGAGCCCTGGCATTGGTTCCTTCAGTCCCCACAGCCTTCTCAGATTTTGAGCCCTGGCCAGACACAGAAAGAAGGCAATACTACCCCTCACTACCGCTGCGGCAGCCTGGGAGCAGGTTTTGTGAGATCAGTCTCTGGGACAACTGGATGTCCCCCAGCCTGACCTCCACTGGGGCCTCTTTCCTTTCCCGCCCTTTCTTGCATGGGCAGCCAGAGGCCCCAGGGTTGATGTTGAGCTCTTCTCCCCAGAGGCCACTCCTGTTCCCTGCTCTGTACAACTGCTTTAGCACCTACATTTGCTTAATTCCCCTTGCCCAGTGCTTCCCATCTCCCATAATGACGCTAATGGACAAAAGAGAACGTGCAGGAGAGCTGCCCCCAGCTTCCGCCCCGCCGACTGGCCTGACCTATTGCTGCTACTGCTGCTGCTGGGAATCCTGGGGCATGCTGGGAGTCAGTCCAAGTGCATGATGGGATTTCAGTCTGTTCCTCCATGCATTCTGGGTTTGCTTGGAAACAGTTCCAACTTGGAACTGTTGGTTTTAGTCCGTGATGTGCACTCCCCGAGGTGAAGTTAAAAGAACGTCGTTGCCTGACAACTGGAGAGCAGGTGCCTCATGGGTTGAGCAAGATGCCTGAAAGCTGGGGATTTTCAGGCCACCTGTTGCACAAATCCAGCTGTGGCCTAGAAGATGTCTGCTATGCACTGGCGTAAGGACTCAGAGGAAAGTGCCTTTACCATCTCATCAGAGGGTTGGCTTTAAGGTCTGGTCTGCTCTTACGGGAGGCAAGAACTAAGTCCTGGCACATTTGTAGGACTCTGAGATCCTATTCCCACCACAGGGCTTCGCCCACCTGTGGACACATCCTTGGATCTGGAAGGTTGTGTGGACACAGCTGCACATACTGAGGCTTAGTATCTTCAAACCACATGTCATGGTGCCCCATAGCCAATGGAACCCACTCACCTGCAGAATTTTACTGATCTCCTGGCAAGAGGAGCTTCATAATCCATTTTTCATGTTCCCAGAGGAAGAAATCAAGTGGGGAGAAAAAAACAAACACAAAGAAAGCAGAAGAGATCCTCCAGGACTGCTGGTTTCTCAGCAAGATGCAGAAAAACCAGATGGGGAGATTCAGTTCTCACCTTGGCTAATTCATGAAACTTTGAGGCAATGGCCAATGACTTACCAATTCAAGTACCACAAAGAAGTTTGATCAGAAAGGATATCTCAGGACCAGAAGAACAGAAAAGAAGAAGAGCCTATCTGAAAAGAGGCAAAGGATGGGGACCTGTACCCCAGGCGTGTGCCAGTGCTGTTGCGTGGCCACTTGCTAAGCACCTCGGTAGCTCCAAACACTTGTCTCCCACTGGCCAGGATGGAATCCCTCTAGAAATTGGGTCTCTCTGGAGATAGCCATCTTCTGGGGCCTTAAGCTGAAAGGAGATTATATGGGGAAATGTTGGACAGGGTTTCCATCCGTCTCCCGAGTGAAAAGATGCATTTACAAAATATTCTAAAATCTTATTTACTGAAGACAAAGAAGGGGTCTGCAGCCAAGAAGTCAATGAGTCTCATGCAGACATCCCATGCTGCCGCTTTCATATGGATCTACACTCTTCAGACCACTTCGAGGTCATTCATTCTAGCCCCACACAGCCTTGCCCTCTTTCTCTGGGTCATAACTACAAAGGAAGCCAGAAAAAGAAAGACCGTTAACCTAAGCTTCAAGAACTTGACTTCAGTTTTCTTCAGTTCAGAATCCATGGTTTCTTGAAATACTCAAAGAGAAGGCATCTTGGGAGAACGCTGTGCTCTCTGTCACAAAAGGCATTTGGCTTTAGACATATTAGGTCTCTCCAACCCACTGGGGAATCTGGCTCCGATGCTCCAAGTTTACCAATCAGGAATCACACACGCCCAAGAAAACCCTTGTCTGGATCTTTGCTTCAGCACTCCAAGATGGTGGCAGCAGCAGCAGCAGCAGCAGCAGCAGCAGCAACAGTTCTTAGGAAAACCAGCCAGTTCCCTCCCAGGGCTCTACAGAGCAGCAGGACTGGCCACTCAGAAGGAGGCCACAGGGCTTGTGAGGCTGGAGTCGCCGGCAGGAGTCCTAATGTGGCCCTTGGTTTCTTGCAGACATTGATGAGTGCCTCCCAAGCCCTTGTCTGAATGGAGCCACCTGCCTGGATGCCATCGACTCTTTCACATGCTTATGCCTTCCCAGCTACGGAGGGGACCTGTGTGAGATCGGTACGGCCGTCTCGGCTTCAGCTAATGTTACTAACCGCTGCACCACCCCCCACTCCTCCCTCACCTTTCCCTCCTAACCACAGGCTCCAGGCCCTGGCTGGGGCCCCCAAGGTCCATCTGGGCAGTCATTTCAGGGGCCACATCTGAAAAGTCTGCCCCACTGATTCCTATTCTTCTTCTTGCTCTTCTCCTTGAAAACCCTTTTCTGGAGCACTGGCTGATCTGACCTTCTCCAGGGCTTCCAGACGTACTGATGCCACCACTGAGGTTGGTGTATGGTTCAGACTAAGAGAACAGGGCCGATTCGGAGCACATGTCTGGACGGAAGCTGTGGGGTGGGAGTCATTGATTTTCATTCCAGATGACAGCCACAGATCTCCTCTGTGTGGTCACGGGCATGGGACCTTTGCGGTTGCTCCATGGCCCTGGGAGCCACTGTGCCACACTGGCCAAGCTGCCTTTCTCTTCTCCTGGGTCGAGAGCCGTGGTTGGTCTGCCCGAGATATCCCGTGTCACCAGCATGCTCAAGTCATGCATGAACAAGGACTGCTGCATGTCACCTTCCTCTCATCACTCTCGTGACAGCTGCCATGGCAATGCCATGCCAGCCTATGCTTCTTTTCTCCCTCCCTTGTGCAAGGCGAAGAGAACAGAGCTGTTACAAGGGGCAGGAGCTGAGTCTCCTCTCTTGAGCCTTGCCCACTTCTCCATTTCTGCACCTGGGCAGGGCCACCAGTTCTGCCAAAAGGAACTGTGCGCCAGGAACCCTCCCAGGGCTGGACTGAAGCCTCGGCCATCTCACCTTGGTGCTTCCTACTCTCCCCACCAGCCTCCTGGTTCTCGGGAGTTTCCCGACTCAGAAAAGGGGAGATGGGACCTTTGGATGCTTGTCACAATGGCCCAGACAGAACTGGAAGTGTGCATGGGCTTAAAACCCTTTTCAATGAACTCTCAAGTTGGATTCCCAGAAACTTCCAGAAAGCAGCTGAAACCCTTTGGTCCTAAGCAGCGTGGGGAGGTCGTTTTGGGTGGCATATTCCTTTGAGGCACTGCCAAGGTTATAAACTGGTAGAGGAGCTTCTGGGGGGAAAAAAAAAAAAAAGCCTGGACATTCCTACTCCTTTGCAGCCTCCCACCCTCCATCCTCACCCCAACACCCCAAGAAATTGGTATATGGGGTCTTGGCTGGCGTGGAAGCAGAGACTACAAGGGTTTTCTCCCCAGGATGCTAAAACATTTGCCACAGGGTAGGAGAGTTTGGGGCTTCCACGCCGACAACAGCTGTTTGCTTCCAGACTGGAAGAGTGGGCTCTGCTGGAAAGGAGGCAGGGCCCTCCTAGGGCTCTGTATGCTGTTGGAGCAGAGAGATGCTGCCAGAGCCACCCAGCTCAGCCCTGGGCCTGGGCGCCCAGCTCAGCAGGGCTGCATCTCCTCTCCCATTCCAATCCCGAGTGGCCCGCACTCCATGGTGCCTCCTGCCTCAGCTCTGTCCTGCTGCCTCTTCCAGCCTCCCTGGAATTGTTTCTGTTTCCTAAGAACTTCCAGCCTGCACAGCTCTGCCCTCTCATGCCCACCTCCCAGAGAAGCTGCACCCTCCAGCTCTGCCTGCCCAGCTAAGCCCTCAGCCACCGAAGGGGCCAAAAACTGACCCCCCAAGTCAATCCTAAGATGATATCTCTGGGCTCTTCAGAGTGCTGAAGGCCTCTCCAAGGCCTCTCCCCTCTTTCCAGACTGCAGGCATTCCTAGCAGAGAGACCAGAGGCCTCTTCCACAGCGCCTCCTACAGCTCTGCTCTCTCTGCTCCAGCTGCTGACCTCCCCCTCTGCTCTCCCTCCACTGTTCCCACCTGTCTCTCCTCCACTTGGCCAAGCATCTGGCCCTTCAGCCTAAGACTCCTTCCCCTCGGGTACTGGTCCTTCCATTCCGGGACAGCCAGACTGTGGTGGCACCCATCAGGGAGCCCACCATGTAGCTTGAGGGGTTTGTGGCCCTCCACCTGGGAGGCCCCAGGGGAAGAAGGAAGAGGGGGGCTTGAATTCACTCTGTCCCACGCTGTGCTGGCAGATGTTTAACAACCGGCTCTCACAGGGGAAAAGGGAGCCCTGGTCGTAGCATCTGCCAATTCTTGAGGTGTAAATGCTTCTGCCAGGGCCAGTTTAAAGTTACTAGCATGATGTCACTGACGGCGCAGTTGGGAGGAGACAGAATGAATGCTCTCAAAGCTGAGTGAGCCGGCTCAGCACGGTTCTCCCTGTCCCCCAGCCTGTCCAAGAACTCCAAGCCAGCCCCTTCTCCAGACTGAGAATCCATTACAAATTGAGGTTTGTGAGGAGAGGCGCACCTCCCCTCTTCCCATTCACCCCCAAAATAAAATAAAAAGCCAGGGCCCCTGGATCCCAGACCCCCAGTGGGTTATCTGAACCCCCAAGAGGCAGGCACAATGTGCTCAACTGAAGCCATCTCTGATCGATGGCCTTAGAGCGCTGAGTCTTCTCTGGACCCTAAGCCGACTTATTTCTGCTGCTCTGTCCCCACCCAAGGTTCTGCAGGAAGAAAGCTGCCAGCTCTGCTCCGTGCCCCAGCGCTGCCAGCTCCCACTGCCCCACACATTTTCCACAGCTCCTCTCCCCACTCCCCCTCTCCCTGGAGCCCCTCAGAGACTCAGAACCATGTTTTGCCTTAAATATCAAGACCTCTCACCTTCCCACCTCTTTTTACCTGGCCTGCTGACTTCTGCCGGCCCACCAGAGCAGGCATCCTTGGAGAGGGCGAGGGGGGAGGGCGTGGCATCGGGGAAGGAAAGGGCTCCTGGCATCTTCCAGAGTGGAAGCATGTACAGAGGCTCCCAGGGGCCAGACTGGTTCCCAGCTGGAAGCCCCTTCAGCTGGGCCTCTCCCTTCCCTTGAGGGCACAGCATTGCAGGTGGGGTGAATGCAGGAACCCACGCCATAAGACTGGCAGTATTCGCCATCCCCTGGTGGTCTCTGCCCCTCCCTTCAAGCCTCTGACCTGTGTTGCAGACCAGGAGGTATGTGAGGAGGGCTGGACCAAGTACCAGAGCCACTGTTACCGCCACTTCCCGGACCGCGAGACCTGGGTGGATGCGGAGCGCCGGTGTCGGGAGCAGCAGTCACACCTGAGCAGCATCATCACCCCCGAGGAGCAGGACTTCGTCAACAGTGAGTGCAGCAGGGCCTCTGGGGCCCGAGACAAGAGTGGCAGTGAGGCAAAGGGCCTCACCTTTCAGAAGGCAGCAGACGTGGGCCTAGTGAGACTGCAGGACAGGGACCTGGGGGAGGGGGACAGTGTTCCCGCAGTCTGAGCTCCCCGAGAGACAACAGCAGTCTTTGGGGCCAGCAGATTTGGCTACAACCAAGGCAGCCCACTGCCAGCCAGAGTCAGCCCAAGACTAAGCTGTGGCTGTCACCTGCCCGTGCCAGCTTGGAGAGGTGGTGCAAAGTGCACTCTAAACACGCCCGTGCTGAGACCCTTGTGAGGACCTGAGAAGCAGGTGGCTTTTGCTCCTACGAGCCCACCCACCTCCATCCCTCCTCCATCCCCTCTGCCTCCATGAGCTCACATTTCTAAGACACCCTCGGGATGTCCATCATGAGGCCTGACACCCTCACCCTTTCCCCAGACAATGCTCAAGACTACCAGTGGATCGGCCTGAACGACAGGACCATCGAAGGGGACTTCCGCTGGTCAGACGGACACCCCATGGTGAGTTCTGCTACAGGCCCAGCTCATGGCCCAGAGGAGAGGAAGTGGGATAAAGACTCCTGGAGAGAGAGGCATTCAAACCCCTTGCAGACACTCACTGAGCAGCTGCGGGACCAGGAGCCCTGCGGGCAGGAATCGTGTCTCCATCTCTGCCTCTGGAGCCCAGCCTGGCGCTGGACAGATTGAGCTAATGACGGCGTGAGGCAAGGGATGGAGTGAGGGAGGAGACGAAGGAGTCAAAGCCACCACCATGAGGAATATATGGAAGCTTTAGAGAGGTTTCTTGCCCACATTGGACCCAAGTCTACTCAAGAAGACAGACAGAAAGCAACATAGATGCCAGCCATGCTTCTCTCTGTCCTGAAGCAAGGCTGGAAGGAGGAGCTTTGGGAGAGCTTAGGAGCCACGTTTCTGCCACCCATCCCTACCCAAGCAAGGCAGCCTCTTGTGTCAGCCCTGGTTGGCCCTTCTGGATAAGAGGAGAGGAATCAGCACATTAATAGGGCCTGGGAGTCTTGGGGGTTCTGAGCTCCTGAGAAGGACCCAAGTCAGGCTATGTGACGGATTCCCTAGAGGACCCCCGGGTTCCATGGCCCCTAGAACAGCCCAGAGCAGACTCCTAGCAGCCTCTGTGTTGCTATCAGATGAGCCTGAAGTTGGGCTAAACGAGAAAGGAGGCGACAAAGAGAATCCATGGGGAGGACAGCGGGGTCAGGCCCCCGCCCTGGCTGCCCACTCCTGACTCCTTCCCCACTCCCACGCACAGCAATTTGAGAATTGGCGCCCCAACCAGCCTGACAATTTCTTTGCCGCCGGAGAGGACTGCGTGGTGATGGTCTGGCACGAGAAGGGCGAGTGGAATGATGTTCCCTGCAATTACCACCTGCCCTTCACGTGTAAAAAGGGCACAGGTACGCTGCGGCCGGGAGGGCCGGGGAGGACAGGATCCAGACCTCCAGCTACAGGTGAGGCTCTCGCTCTGTGGTCTGGGGTGACTTCCTTGTCTCCTGGCTGCTGGCGTCTCCTCACCTGTCCAAAAAGCTGACCTGGGGATCCCTCCCAGCACCAGCATCCCAGGGCCAGTGGCAAGGGCGAGCTCTCTGCCAGGGACCATTTGCAGGGACAATGAGCACATGAAGGTCACGGGTTAGAGGACAGGACCCCCATGCCACACTGCACACATTCCCTTGGATAGCAGCAGAAGAGTGATCCACAAGGGCCCCCAGGTGGGGAGCCTCCCTGTCTTTGGGATTCCCAAGGCCATCAGTCACAGAGTCATAGCTGTCAGGCCTCGATCCCTTGGCTTTCAGCCTGCGGACACTGAGTGCTGGTAGGATAAGCCCCACTGCCCCTGCTCACAACCTTGTGTCCCCCGGGCCTCCTTTGGGTCTCATTTTGCCCTGAACTGGGTATTTTCATCAGGAAGCCCGAGTCTGCCACACCTTTCTTCCTCCCTTTCTTTTTGGGACAGTCTCACTCTGTCGCCAGGCTCGAGTGCAGTGGCGCCATCTTGGCTCACTTGCAACCTCCGCCTCCCTGATTCAAGGGATTCTCCTGTCTCAGCCTCCCAAGCTGGGATTACAGGCACACGCCACCACGCCCAGCTAATTTTTGTATTTTTCGTAGAGACGGGGTTTCACCATGTTGGTCAGGCTGGGCTCCAACTCCTGACCTTATGATCTGCCTGTCTCGGCCTCCCAAAGTGCTGGGATTACAGGCATGAGCCACCATGCCTGGCTCTTCCTCCCTTTCATCTTTTCTCCATTCCTTTAAGGACCACCCCCTTTGTATTCCCTTCCTGCTTTTCTAAATTGTTGAGGAACACAGATGTTAGAGCCAGCAGCTTCCAGATTCTTAGCGCTGCAGGAAAACACCCAGGGCTCAGTGTCAGGTATTGAGGCTGTGCCCCCCACAGTGCCTCGGGTCACAACCAGTATAGGTCATCCCAGAAGACCCTACGAGACCCTTTATAAAGGGTGTTTGCCCCTCAGTGGCCTGCGGAGAACCCCCTGCAGTGGAGCATGCCAGGACCTTTGGGCAGAAGAAGGACCGGTATGAGATCAATTCCCTGGTGCGGTACCAGTGCACGGAGGGGTTTGTTCAGCGCCACGTGCCCACTATCCGGTGCCAGCCCAGCGGGCACTGGGAGGAGCCTCGGATCACCTGCACAGACCGTGAGCATCACCCCTGCCACCCTCGCTGAGCACAGGGTTAGCCTCTGCCAGCACAACCCTCCCCCCGTCCCCTCTCCCGGGGACCCTGCACCATCTGCAGGGTTGAGCAAGGCTGGGGAGGTCAGGGGGTTGCTCAGTCACAAATCGCTGACCAGTGCCCCTAAAAGGGCCACGTATTTGTCCCAGGAGGGGACTCACTTTCACTGACAGAATGAAGGACAAAAAGCCAGAAAGTCCAAGAAAAATCAAAACCGGGGAAGCTGATAAAGCCTCAGGCACCTCACTGAGTCCCCGGTTTCCACAAGGGAGAGAGGGTAAGCTGGGGAGAGCCTAGGCTTGCCCCACTTTCTTTCCAGGTCCAGGTAGATTTCCATCTCTCTTTCGCCCTAGCCACCACCTACAAACGCAGACTACAGAAGCGAAGCTCACGGCACCCTCGGAGGAGCCACTCCAGCACGGCCCACTGAGAGGAGCTTCCAGGACCCACCCAGGACGCTGAGCCCAGGAGCCTGCCAGGCTGACGCGGACCCACCCAGATGGTGCCCTCTTCTTGTCGCTTTTTGTCATATAAGGAATCCCATTAAAGAAGGAAAAAATAAATCCCACGTTGTGTATACACCCACTCACCCCTCCAAATCACCAAAACCGCATCTAATTTGTCCGCCGAATGCCAAAGCAAAGCAAACTTATCATAACTCGTGGACTAAGTTTAGAGACATTTCTTCAATCTCCCATCGTGCCTTTCGAGGAACCAGTGCAGGGACAGGGGGAGAAGGGGAGGGTTTAAGTTAAATAAAGAAGATTATTTTTGTTTCCTGACTTTATCCAAGAGCAGTGCAATCGTTGGTTATTTCACCTCCAGGGAGAGCTAGGGAGGAGGGAGGAGGGCTCCGAAGGAGCTGGAAAGGGCAAAGGCCTGAGAGCATGAAGAACTCGGAACCACAGCTGAATGTATTGGATGAGGAGCCAGGAGGGCTGCACCGTCTGTCTGAGGGAGAAGCCTTGGGGGAGAGGGGCGGGTTCCTGCCTCCTGCCGAGGGTGAGCTGGCAGGGGAGAGCCATCAGAGGGACCTTCCGCCGCGTGGGGCTTGGGTTCCCTCCAAGGGTCCGTCTTCCAGTGTCCTCTCACCTGGGTCTGCCACCCTAGCAGGTGGAAACTTGGCAGGGCTGCTGGGGGCACTTCCGTCCCAGTGGGGGTGCCACCCAACCTCCTCCCCTCCCCACCCCCGCCCCCGGGACCGTGCAGGCACCAGGGTTCCGTGCACCTATTTATATTTTTGAAAACCGAAGATTATGATATTATAATAATAATAAAGACATTGGAAGAGATCTCTCTCTTTTCTTTTCCCTTTTTTAATTTAAGAAGGCAGTCATGACCTGGAGTCTCCCAAAGGGGCTCTTAGGAATGGTGGCAGTGGAGGCAGGTTTTGATCCAATGATCTCAAATTGGTGGGACTCTGCGACTCTGGTCTGATCAGAGAGCCTGGGACAGTCACATCTGTTGTGTTTTATTTTTACTAGGGTGCCAATGTGTTCGGTGGATGATCTGCATGTAAGCACAGGTGATGTGTCTGTATCCGTGTGTGCACCTGGGTGTGCCTGTCATGTTGTGATGTGTCAGTCAGTGGATGCCGTGTGGATTTGCAAGTGGGCACTGTCAAAGAACAACTCAAGCGAGACATCTGGTCACCTGGCAGTTTGGTTCTCTGTGACCACACTGCTCATGTGGGTTGGTAGACTGCGTCCAAGAACAGAGGCAAAAATCGGGATTTATAAGAGGGGAAGGAAAAAGCAGACTGCAGACCGAGCGGGAACCGTGAATCTCGCTTACACGTTTTCAGGGTGAACTGCTTGCCAGCTACTAATAAAAAGGCCTGGACATTCTCCCCCTAAGTACGCAGAATAGCGACGAAAACAATTCCAATTGTTTACAGACTCCCCCACAAACCTGGAGAGTTGAGGTGGCACGTGCATCCCAGGCAGTGTCCTTCCCCCAGTGCCTCCCCCTCAGATGCCTCCCTCATCACAGTGGCTGGACACACACCATAGAGTCTTTGTGAATGTGTGTGTGTGTGTTGCTTAGTGCATGCCAGTGTGAGTTCCTGGGTCCCGGTAACTTTTCAGGCGTGGGCGTGTGTACGGTTGCTTTTGGGTAGATATATGCTTGTACCTCTACCTCTAGAAAGAACAGTGGGCCAATCCCAGCACTTCGGGAGGCTGAGGCGGGCAGATCACCTGAGGTCAGGAGTTCGAGACCAGCCTGACCAACATAGTGAAACCCTGTCTCTACTAAAAATACAAAATTATCCAGGTGTGGTGGCGCATGCCTGTAATCCTAGCTACTCGGGAGGCCGAGGCAGGAGAATCACTTGAACCGGGGAGGTGGAGTTTGTGGTGAGCTGAGATCGCGCTATTGCACTCCAGACTCAGAACAAGAGCGAAACTCCATCTCGAAAGAGAGAGAGAGAACGAACGAAGGAATGAACAAACAGTGGGCCAAAGTAAAGTGTACAGCATTGGTCACATAGTAAGTGCTCAATAATTACTTATTAATTTACTGATTAGGTGACTGTGCAACTGTGAGTGGTTTTCAAACTTGAGTGTGCATCAGAATCACCTAAAGAGCTTGGTGACCACAGCGTGCCGGTCAGTATCCCAGACTTTCCGACTCAGCAGGTCTCTGGCGGGGCCCAGGAATGCACTTCTCACAAGATCCCAGCGATGCTGACGATGCTGACGCCGCAGGCCACACTGTGAGAAGCACCGAGCTAAGGGAAGAACCAATTGAATAACTGGTTGGTGAGTGGCAGCAGCATTCCTGTGCAAGGCAACGAGTCTGGTTTCCTGAGGCAGGTGTGGGAGTGGGTGGCACAGGGTGAGGCACACAGATTGGCCCTTGATCTAGGCCTCAGGTCCTCTGGAGGCACGGCTTCCTCTGCCTTCTGAGAGGTGCCTCTTGTTCTGCTGGGCCTCACAAAGACAGGCCACCAGGGGGTGGGGACGGTGGGGATACAAGCCAGGTCCTCTGCCACCAGCCCAGCACCCGGGACCGGGTGAACCACGGGGCAGGCAAGGCTAGAACCAGCCCGAAGAGTTCCCTGTTCACCCCAGGGCGGGACGCAGACGACCTGGGAAGTCTGGGCTCAAACTGCCCCCACCACACCCTTCAGGCAGAGGGCTGCACCCTGAGACCGAATGAGATGGAGACACAGAAAAGGGCTGGGGACGGCAGAAGGCTGTCGTAGCACCATTTATTGTTCCAAGGAAGTACACACACCTGAGGGCCCCTCCCCACACAGGGAAAAATGAGAAACAAGTGAGAACAATACAGACTTTGGAACTGAGCGGGGTGGGGAGGGGAACTTCTCCCTTCCCTCAGATTTCACCCAGAAGCCTGGAACTGGCTTCTGGCCCTGGCCCCCCAGTGGGCAGACTGGGGTTACCAGCTTCACAGAGAGGTCGAAGGGGGCAGAGGAGGCCCAAAGCCCAGCTGCAGAGGACCTCAAGGCCCTCTTCTTCCCCAGGCTGAGGGGCAGGGAGAGCTGTGGCCGCCATGCCCTGACTCCTGGCAGCATTCCGGGCAAGCCACCACCCGCTCTAGGCACCAACCCTCTTAATGAAGGGAGACCAGCCTGGATGGCGGGGAACCCTCCAGAAGCCCAAGAAACCGCAAAGGGCCCAGAGGAGCCGGCAGGAGGATTCCTGAGTGGGGCATCCAGGAGCAAAGGGAGGTACTGGGTTCTGAGTGCTTTACAAAAAATAGTAAAAAAAAGTTTAGAAAATTAAATTGAGAAGTATAAAAACAGTTAAAACAGCCCCAACCCACAAGGGAAAATGAACCAATCAATAAATACACAGCCGGTGCGGGAAAGCTGTGGGGGAGGGCCCAGGTCCTAGGGCTGGCGGTAGCAGTAAACACCATACAGGCGGCTCTGTGGGTCAGGGAAGCCAAAGCTTCGGACCCCAGGCTCTGGGGGCCCACAGTTGGGATGCGGGTGAACCACAGGGTAGCGGGCGCTGCCATCTGCCAGCCAGCCAGCGTCGCAGCGGTCCAGGCCCTGGAACCTCCAGGCAGCAAAGAGCTGTCCCACCTTGGCGATGGTGGCACCATCTTCCTGGCAGGCCTCTCTCGCCTCCGTCAGCGTCAGCTTCTCAGGGTGCTCCAGGTAGTACACCCGCCCTGCAGGAAAGGGGGCGTGAGTGTGGGGCTGGGCAGCAGGCAGCCAGAGAGCACAGCGAGGCCTGCAGAGATGCCAGCTCCAAAGACCCATCTGAGCCGAGAGCTGCCATGCTGTAGGCATCTGCAGAGAACACCTCAAGGAACACCTCCTGGTTTTCACCCTCTCCCAGCGAGCCCCATCCCACCTGCCGTAGAACCGGGGTCCCTCCAGTCATGTCTGCACTCCCCCACCAGCCTTCCCCATTTGCACCCTGGGCGGGCTCCCCACCTGGGCTGGACCAGAGTCTCTCTCTCATTCAGGCATTTACGGAGCTTCCCCCACCACACCCACCAGACAGGGGGCTGCGCCCTTAGACCGAATGAGATGGAGACACAGGAAAGGGCTGGGGATGGCAGCACCCGCTATGTGCCAGACACCTTTCCAAGGGTTGGCATATGGCACTTGAACCAGCTTCTGTTTCTACTTGCTCATCTTCCTACGAAATGAGCTACTTTGTGAAGACAGGCTGTGTTTTATTTGTCTGTGATTCCCCAGAGCCTAGACTAGGTCCCAGCATATGGTAGGCACTCCGTAAACATTTGATGAATGAAGAAACCAACGATGGGCACGGAGCAGCAGCAGCAAAGCAGTCGGAACTCAACCGATGGGCTTCAGGGTTGGCTGGTGCCCTTGGCCCCCAGGTGGCAGTGCCAGCAGAGCAGGCAGAGGGGGCCAGAGCTCCCCAGAAGCTGCCCTCTCACAGGTCCCGGATGGGCACCAACCCTGAAGGCCTGGGTGTGGCCATTCCACTCACCCTTGAGGGCAGTGGCGAAGCAGAACACATCATAGCGGTGCAGGCGGCGGTGGCGGGGGCCGTAGCTTCGCACGCCAGGGGCCAGGCCAGGGCCGCCGCAGGGCTGGCGGGGCAGCATGATGGGGTACTGCACCGTGGCGTCCTGGAGCCAGCCCGCGTTGCACCAGTCCAGGCCCTCCTCCCAGGCCCGGAAGAGCTGCTCAAAGGAGGCCACCGCCGCACCCTGCTCCGCACACACCTGCTGGCCCTCGTGGAAGTTGAGCTGGTAGCGCCCCTGGGGAGACTGGTAGGGAAAGACCACACCTGCCGGGGAGGAAAGAGGAGCTTAGCGGGTGGCCAGGGGCCCAGCAGCTGGATACCCCGATCTCCTCCCACCCACACTGAGACACGTGCTCCCTGCAACACACACACACACACACCGTCCCTCAGAAAAACTCAGCGAACCTCTGCACTCCCGTCCATTGCCACCTCTCTCCTGAGATCAGCTGGTTCCCAGCAGTACGCAGAAAACATTCAGGAGTTACGGTAATTAATTAATTAGTCAACTAATGTCCCCAACGATAGAATGGAAATGAAACCTAATTCACAAGGCTGTCCCAGGCCCCTAGTGAGGTTGCGTATCTTCTGCAGACAGGCCCAGGCTTTGGGCTGCAGGGCCCGGTTTGACTCCCAGCTCTCCTCTCATTAGCTGGGACCCGATCGTATATGTTATTATGAATGTGGAAGTTTCCTAGGAAAATGCAAGAAACTTTCCACATGGGGCAGATAATTGTCAGGAGGAGGAGAGGCCCTGGAGGCTGTGGGGAGAGGCTGGTGAAGGGTCCTTCCATAAGCGAGGCTCAAAGTCAGG